AATATGTCACAAAAGTTCAAAGTTAGAAAGCTCAGAGATTAAAAGCCAGAAGATCTTCTTAAAGATTTAGAAAAGCTTAAATCAGAACTCATTTAATTAAGAACAGTCAAAGTTTCAGCTGGTAATGCTTAAAAACTTGGCAGAATTGGAGTAATTAATTATTCCCTATATTTCAGCTTGTAAGAAAACGAATTGCAAAATATTTAACAGTCATTAATCAATAAAGACGAGATTAAGTTAAATCAAGTACTAAATCAAGTAGCAAACTACCTGTTGATCTTAGAGGTAAATAAACAAGAGCAATTAGATAGAGATTAACCAGAAGCGAAAAAGGTTTATTATATTAATATCAATTAGCTTAAAAAACAGTCAGATAATGGAAAAGATTAAACAATTTTGCATTGAGAAAGTTTGCTTTGAAAGACTGATTCATTAACAATCATAATAGTACATTATTCTTAACTAGTATACTTATAAATTTCTTAAATAAAATTTTGTTTGAAACAAATTTTTCTTTTCACATTTAATTAATAGAATTTAATTAAAAAACGTCTTTGATGCTTATTGTCTTATTCTTTTATTTCATTAATACAATTATCATTTATTTTTATATTATAAATTTATTAAAAACTATCTGTTATAAAAATCTTAAAATTACAAATCTACTAATTATTTATAAAATCATATCATATTTTTGCATTTTAATATCTATCATTAAAATTGAGTTTATGTCAAAATTTTAATATAAAATATAAATTAAAAAAAGATGTTTCTCTTATAATAAAGATAAGTATTGTAAAAATCCATTGTCTAAATTTTATATATCTTAATTTATACAAAAAGTAATTAAATTTTTAGTATAATCTTTAACTGCAAATTTTATCCTACTTTATAACTATTTAAATAAAATAAAATTTAAATATCATTTAAGAAATATTAAACTTCATTTTTACTTATTCTTTACAAAAATATTTTATTTCTTTTTGTATCTAGTTATCATAAACATTCTTTTATTTAAGGATGCATTTAGAAGATACATATCTTATTATACTTTTTTAATTTTGCTTAATAGCTATAATTTTGTTTCGAATTTGAAGTAAAATATTACTTGAATATACTCTTAAAAATGAATGATTTAAAATTTTATTTATAAATTCCAATATGTTAATATAAAGAAATATAAAATTGAATTTATTAATAATTTTATAAATAACTTAACAAAAGATATTAATCTATAAATAGGATTTGAATATTATAATACAATTACTGTAATGTTATTTATATATGACTTAAATAATCATAATTTAGCTCTTTGATTGATTTAAAATATAAGTTTTCTATAAATTTTTAATATTATTTTGTAATGATGGTTTACAATAATTTTAAATAAAAACGATTACAAATAGGTATATTGTTTTTGTAGAAGATCTTGATAGAAACTCTAAATTCATGTAGTCTTATTATTCTATTTTTAATTTAAAGAATGAAGAAAATTTATTTTTATTTTTAAATTATTAACAATTTAAAAATTTTTTGTCTTTATTATCAAATTGAATAGAGCCTAAGGAACAATTATACCCTAAAAATACACACATCAATAACAAATATTATATAATAAATTAACAATAGATTAATGACAATTAATATAATAAAGTTAAAATTATATTAATCTTTTAATTGTTTAAATGTATACAATTAGAAGATTAATTTATAATCATTCATATTATTTTTATTGTATAAAATCAAAAATTAAATTATGATTAATATTTAAATATATAAAAAATTCCTTGTAATTTTTTGTTATATACTTTAAGTTTAAATTTCTAAATGCCATCGAAGATGAAGAAAATTAAAATTAGAATATAAATATATGTTTTATATAAAATTTAACAAAATAAAAGAACCATTTTAATTTTATTATTGTAAAAATATTAACTGAATTTTTTGAAAATATAAACAAAGTAATAAATATGTTAATTCATAAATAAATTTTTAAGATGACAGAATAAATATATAATCATTGTTTCTAGAAAGAACAGTTTATCATTTATTTTTGTTTAAGTTTGCAGTTTTAAGAAAATAAAATAAATTTAAACAATTTATTTAGCTTTTGTTAGACTTTATTAGTTATATATATTTAAAAAAGAATGTATAGTATAATTTATTCAAATTAAATAAATTTATATGAAGATGGTTAATAATATTATGAAATTGAATATATTCATAAAGTTTCATTCAGCTTAACTAATTTCCTTCCTTTTATCATAATTAGACATTCAATATTACAAAGTTGTTACGAAAACTAAGAAATTTTAAAATTTGAACTCATTATTTGTTTCCAATTAGTATCATCATGACAATTGTGTTAATTTTAATAAACTCTCTCTTAAAGTTCTTTAATAATTTTATTCATCACAAAATATTCCTTCTCCTCATTACTCATTTTAGTCAACTTGAGTTTATTCTGTTCCTACTTGATCAAGTTGTAATATCGGTTTTTAATAGTGTTTTCCGTTCTTCTTAATTAAAATATTTATAATGAGATTTCTGCCCATCTCTTTCCTTTTTTCTTTACTTCTTAAAATAGCATAAGCTCTTCCTCTTTAGTCCAAGGATCCCTAAATATATTATAATAACTCTTTACTTCTTTATATTTGGGTCTAGTTTATTCACCCATCTATCTCGACATTATTTTCCTTGTCTTGCATAAGGTGTTTGACATTTCTTCATTAATTCAATAGCAATATCACACCATTTGTTTGGATGCTAATTATATAATTAGATAAGGGCTTAGTCTTCTTCCAAAGTCCAACTAGCTTTAGCTTATTTTTCTTAAAGCCATCTATTTCTGCATGCCTTCCAATTATGATGAATTATCAATCTAGATATTCTTTCCCAATCTTAAATCATCTATAATATGTGAATATTTTATACCAAATCATGAGGAAGGATACGATTCTATAAACATACTCCAAAAACAACAACATTTAATAATTTTTCTTAGCAAGGTGTCCATGCTCCTTTTTTGCTAAAATTACTCTTTTCGAAAGTATTCAAAATCGAAGTTAATTCTTCATATGTTGGAATATATTGTAACGGAAAACAGTTTGTGGATAAGAGCTATATTTTAAATTGATTGTCTATGTTTGCAAATAAGCTTTATATTGCTTGGCGATCAAGGGTATTTTTTTTTATCTACATCTAATTAGAGATGATATTCAAATATAATTAAGAGATATAATAAATTTTCACAAATAGTGAAATAATGATTGAATTTATATATGTTGTTTATTTTTTTTATATTAAAATTAATTATTACTTATAATTTATTCTAATTTATTTATTTTTTAATCAAAAGCAGTCGCTTTGGTTAGCATAATAACAAAGCTTTATCAATATTTTATTATTTCTACAATCCTCTAAAGATCTATAAGTATAATTATGGATGAAAGTAAAGATTTCTAAATTTAAATTATAAATAAATATTGTAATCTGTTTAAGCTTTCAATAAATTTTATTAAAGCAAAAAGGTATAAGGTCATAGAATTTACAATTTAACACTGAAAATTCTTGATAATTACAAATTATTATTATTATTGATTAGTAATGAATCAAAATGAAATTGTTTAAAAATTTAAATGTATGTTAAATTGCGAATTTACTATTTTTTTAATTTATGGTAAATTGTTAAATACTTAAGTCATTTTAAGGCATTTTTTATCCTGAAATTACCAGTATGTGAAATAAAAGTATTGGAAAATTAATAATTAATATCAAAAGTGAAAAAAATTAATGATTTTTTTTTTATTCGTTATTTTATTTATTTATTTTTACAACGTAATTATAAAACATTTATTTTATATGATATGTAAACAATCAAACACAATTAATATATTAATAACCATTATTTCAAAACATCAGAAAAACAATGGAACATTTATATTCAATATCTTAATAATATTAGACAGCTTATAAAATTTGAGAAAATATAAATAATCATTTAATTTTCATAATCTCTATGAAAATTGAATATAAATAAATAAAAACTCTAAAATTAATAGAAATAATAAGTAAAAACTATGATTTAGGATATTTAATTGTTAGTTTGATATTTTAAAATGAAGAAAAAAATTAATTTAATGATAAATAAGTGAATATTTAGTGATATTTGATTTTCTTAACATTAGATTTCATAACTATTTTAATTTTCATTGTTAATTCTTTTGGTATTTTGAATTATTTCAAATATAAAATAAAAATACGATATTATGAATTCTAAACATTTAATATTAAATAGAAGAATAATTTATGTTCTTATTGCTTTAATGAATTTTTTGTCATTTGTTCATTAATTAGAATCCTATTATTTTAAATTATTTATTTGTAATGCAAATAATATATTTATTGTATTTATTTAATCAATTAATTTGTGTAATAGATGATAATTAAAATGTATTTTACAAATATATAAACATTAGGTATATAAACATAAAAATTATATTAGTAATAAAATCAAAATACTTTTTAAAGTTAATCAGATTTAGATATGAGTCAGTTCATTAAAATACTTTCTTACTTAAAGAGAAATATATTAGAGAATGAGAGACACGCGGAATTAAATAAAAATTAAAAATTAAGTACTGTAATTAATGAAGTTGATTATAAATTGAAATAATACATTTTTTTATATAAATTTTCTTTATTAAAAATATATAAGTGTCGTCAATATTTACAAATAAAGCATATGATTAATAATTATAATAGGAAATTTGGATTCATAAAAGTCTAGTTCATGAAAATATCATAAAGCTTCAATCACATTACCAGAATATATAACAAATTCATATGCTGATGTAATATGCAGAAGTAGGTTCTTTGTATCAAAGCTAATTATGATTGGATTAAGTTCAAGATTATTTTCGTTAAATATGTAATGAAATATGCAGTAATATTTTATTTTTATATAATATATTAATTAATTTCTAATATTAGTTACAAGAATGATTGTATTATTTACACTCAAATAATATAATTCATATAGTTAATACATTGGATTAATTTGCAAGGCTGAAAATTTATTGTTAAAAAACAATGTAATCAAGTTATGTGATTTTGGATGGTCAGCTAAGGTTGGATATAATAAATAGAGAGATACTCTTTGTGGAACTGTTTATTATATGGCTCCTTAAATCTCTTAAAGGCAATAATCATAATGACTGGCAATATAATACTTAGATAATCAAGGAATGTGGTTGAATAAAAAGTAATATAACAAAAGCCTAATAAGAGTTTTTATAATTAAATGGTTGTCACCTTTGGATGAATGAATGGAAGCAGTAAATAATTATTTGGATGAAGAATAAAATTAAATTATATTAATGATAAATAATTCATTTCGTAAAACACTTTATCTGCACTCATTTGGTTGGCTCTCCACATATTATAGTATGTCTACTACACCTCATTCTGAATCGATTTCTCCGAAAGTAAGAATCATGCGACCATCAAAACAAAAATTTAATATTACTTTTAAAGAATTTGCAAAACATTGTGAACGCCTCCAATTAAATTAAGTATCAGAAATCATAAAATAAATTAAATTAATTCCAACAGCTTCTCCTAATGAAATTTAGGATTTTGTTAACTCAAATAAAATTGTAGGAAATATTAACAATATTGCAACAAATTTTGATTTTCTTCCAGCAGAATATTAATCAATTCTAATTTCCAAAAACATAACATCACCTACTCCTATATAACAAGCAATCATACCATTAATATTAGAAGGAAGAGATGTGATTGCCATAGCTGAAACTGGATCTGGAAAAACATTAGCATATGCATTACCAGGAATAATTCATTCTCAAGCATAACCAAAAGTACTTGGACCAAGAATTTTAGTACTTGCTCCAACAAGAGAATTGGCTTAATAGATTTAATCTTAATATGAACTTTTTACAAGAACTTGTTGTGTCTATGGAGGAGTCTATAAGAATTTATAATTTAGTGAAATAATGGGGATTAAAGAATCAAGAAATAAGATTAATCTGCCTTCTGTAATAATTGGTACTCCTGGAAGATTATTAGATTTTATGAAAGATGGTTTGCCTTTAAATTCAATCACTTAAGTAGTATTGGATGAAGCTGATAGAATGTTAGATATGGGATTTGAAGAATAAATTTAAACAGTTCTATAAGGAATTAGAGAAGATAGATAAACTTTATTTTTTAGTGCCACTTGGCCAAATGAAGTTTAAAGATTAGCTAATTCATTATGTATTAAAGATCCTATTTTATTATAAATTGGTGAATAAGGATTGTCAGTAAATAAAAATATTTAGTAAGAAATTATAATAGTTTATGAAAATAAATTTGAACAATTTGTTGAATTAACAGAAAGATTAAAAGGATAAAAGTTATTAATATTTTGTTAAAAGAAGATTGATACATAGAAATTAGAATATCGTTTATCTTAACATGGATTAAAGGCTAGATATTTACATGGAAATTTAAAACAAATTGAAAGAGATTATATTATGGAAGATTTTAAGACAGGAACAATTAATTGTTTGATCACAACTAATTTAGCATCTAGAGGTTTGGATGTTTCTGATGTTGATGTTGTAGTAAGTATATTCATTTGATTTTTAGATTAATTATGATTTCCCAGATAAAATTGAAGATTATATTCATCGAATTGGTAGAACTGGAAGAGCTGGCAAAAAAGGATTAGCCATTAGTTTTTTAGAACCATGCTTTATTAATAATAGGCTTAAAAATGATTTGGTGTAAGTTCTTTAACAATCTAATTAAGTTATACCCTAAGAATTATTTAACTTAAGGTTATGATATTTATAGTAATTTGCAGTCTATATTTTTTTGTCAACTATTCTATATTCTCTTATCATAACATAAATAAATTAGGAATTAAATATCTATTTTATGTACTATAATCAATCTAATCCAGTTTACGTCTTTGTTCCTTGCTATATTCCTTATTAAATCCCTCCTGTTCCTAAATTTGATATAACAAAAGAAGAATAGCATTCAGATAGTGAAAAAGAACAAACTAAAACTATTTAAGAAGAAGTTCAAACTAATGCTAGTGGTATTGTTAGAGGTAAAGGTTAATTGTGGACAGAAGAAGAAATTAATAATTTAGTTTCATATTATAAGAAATATAATGGAAATTGGAAATTCGTAATCAAACATCTTAAAGGGAGAAATATTTCTTAATGTTCTTAAAAATATAGAAAACTTATTGATTAAGAAAAGAGAACTAAAAAGAAATGGACTATTGAGGAGGATAAAATACTTTTAGAATCCTTTGCTGAATTTGGAAAACAATGGATTAAGATTAGTTAAAGTATTATCTCATATTTAAATTCTTAGAATTGCCAGGTCGTACTTCTAAACAAGTCAGAGACAGATATGTTAATTAAATAGATCCAGCCATAAATCGAGATCATTGGACTGATGAAGAAGATGAGAAAATCCTTTAGGAATTCAAAAAAGGTGGAGCTAGATGGGCAATCATCTCTAAAATGCTCAATAATAGATCAGTATAATATAATTTTTATTTTAGGAAAATCAAGTGAAAAATCGTTTTTATTACACTATCTTGAAAAAGTATCAAGGAGAGCAACATCCATATCTAAAAGTTCAAGAATGATTTACATTTCTCTTATAATAAAATATTCTTCTTAATATTTCTTTATAATTAATTTCTTATAATTAATTAACGTAAATAAATATTAGCTATTATTGTTTAGATATAGTACCAACAAAAATAATAAAATATTAACTCTTTGTATAATAACACTTATATATCCTTAATTTTTTGATAAATTTTTCATAAATTATCAAAATCAATAATTTCTTCAAAATTATATTTTATTCTATATCAAGCCTGACCCTTATATAGTTGTTCAATTTGATTAGCAAATACCTATTTGGCAATATGTCTTTATAACTTAAAGGTTGATGTTAAACAACCAAATGTTTATAATGGTTGAGGTTCTAAATGTATTAATTTTGCCTAATTAAAATTTATTATTAATATTTACAATTTCTAAGGAATTAAGTTTGTTGGCTCTTCCATAATCATTGATGTTTTTTTAATAGAAACTGATGACTTCTGGATGTTTACATAAATTTTCAAAATCTGCTTAGATTTATTTTTCAGCTGCATATTTTTCAACAAACTCCTTTTAAGGAACTATAATAGCCACAATTTGACTTTGAAGAGAATCACCATAAATGAATGTCTCTGAAACACCTTAAACTCTATTATATATAGCTTCAATTTTCTCTGGAGCAATATATTCACCTTATTATAACTTAAATATGTTCTTCTTTCGATCAATAATCTTCACTCCTCCATTTTCAGTAATTAAACCAATATCTCCGGTATGCAACCATCCAGCGGCATCTATAGCTTCAGCTGTTTTTTCAGGGTCTTTATAATATCCTTAGAAAACTCCATATCCCCTTAAACATATTTCCCCTCTTGGTGTTTTTATACCATTAACAACATCTAATGATGTGTAATTCATATCAGGAACATCCACTAATTTAAATTCTGTATTTGCAGCAGGTCCACCAAGATGAGCAGAATTTGGATCCCATGCACCTGTAGAAAAAGATAATGCTGTTGATTCTGTTTAACCATATCCTTCTAAGATTGGACAACAAGCAGCTATTTTGAGGAAATCAATAACTTCCTATTGAATAGGAGCTGAGCCTGTAATCATTAGTCTACATCTGCCTCCAAATAAATCTCTGACTCCTTGGAAAGCTTTATCATATAAACCACTTGTATATTTAGCTTCTGATCTTAGATTTTCTAATTTCACTCTGATAGCTCTTTCTGCAAATGATTTTTTAAAGCCTGTAACTTCATTTATCTTAGCTTTGATGCCATCATAGAACTTATTATATAGTCTAGGAACAGAAGCAAAGATAGTTGGTCTAAGTTTTTAAATGTCTTCCTTTAATAAATTAGGATCTCCTCGATAGAATCTAAATTTTATTAATGATAATACCCTATAGAAGCACCAGTGAAGAGCATAGTAAGTATAATTAATCTCTCCATTACATGAGGTAAGGGTAAATATGATAAATGTACATCAGTTGAAGCAATACCAGCATCAGTTGCTTAAGTACTTGCAATTGCAGAAATGAAATTACCATGAGAAAGTATTGCTCCTTTAGGATTTCCTGTAGTGCCAGATGTATAACATAATGTATAAATAGATGATGGTTAAACTTAAGCAAGTTAAACTATGGATTTCTTTCCATTTTCTACAACTTCTTCGAATTTAAACAATTGATATCCTTTATTTTTTAAATCAGAAATCTATTATTCAGAGAGAGGATCAAGTAAAACTAAATTTTTTAATTTATGCTTTTCTTTGCATTAGATTAATGATTTAGTTGCATCTGCACTAATAAACATGGTTTCAATGTTGGTCTAATCAAGTATAAAGGGAATTGACTCAGGACCAAGAGTATCATAAAAAGGCACCATAGTATAACCATAAAGGATATTAGCCCAATCTAAGATCATCCACTCTCTTCTATTTTTTGCAAAAACTCCTATCAATTTTAATTTGTAATGTTAATATTCTTGGACCTCTTTCACTAAATTCAAATTAGAAATTCTAAAGTTCATTTAATATTTTACCCAATTCCTAAATGAATTGCTTCTTCATTTACTTAATTGTACGACATAAACTTGAAATTATCTCCTTCATATTTGCCTAAACATGGTTCATTTCCATATTTTGCAACACTATTTTGAAGCATCTCCTATAATGTTGTAATTCCTTATTGTGGAATCTTAAGCAACTGATTTGCATATTTTACATTTCTCCTAACTGTAGTTTATCCTTTATTATTCTCTAAAGAACCTGGGTCATTCTCTGTCACTTTCTCTTATGAATATCTCATAAATTAATGGGCACTAGATACTCCACAACCCATATATATTCAGATATTTAATTAAATTTTATGTAATCTTATTTAACAATCCATTATAATATTTCAATAATACATCATTAATTAAATTGTTTTAAAACATTTTTAAGTATTAAAAAATTTTATATTGTTTTATTATTTTAATAATTTTAAACACAATTAACATTAATCAATCAACTTCTTCCATCTTTGATTTTGTGGCTTCTGTGTTGGCATCTTCTTTTTTCTAAGAAAAATATAAATTATTAATAATACCTCTAATTATGGAAGTTTGTCATCTTCTTCTTCAATTCCAGAATCATCAATAGATAAACCAAGTTTGATCATCTTATGGATTCTATTAGCAAAGTGAGTTGGATCATCTAAACTGAATCCAGAAGTGAGAAGAGCAGTTTCATAAAGTAACCAGATGAGATCTTTGACTGTCTTGTCACTCTTATCCTTATCTGATTTCTTCTTTAATTCAGTAAGAATTGGATGATTAGCATTGATTTCTAATGTCTTCTTTGACATCATATAGCTACTCATTGATGGATCTCTCAAAGCTTAAGCTTTCATGATTCTTTCCATATTAGCAGACCATCCATATTCACCAGTAACTAAAACACATGGTGATTAATCAAGTCTTTATCCTAATTAGACTTTTTCAACCTTATCTCCCAAGATTTCCTTGATCAATTTGCATAATCCTTCAAAGGCTGATTTTTATTCTTCAAATTTCTTCTTTTCATCTTCAGTTTAATCTAAATCTAATCCTTCCTTTGTGCAATTCTTTAATTTCTTTCCATCAAATTCTTTCAATTATTAGATGACATATTCATCAATTGGATCAATCATATAAAGAACTTCATAATCCTTCTTCTTTAAAGCTTCAACAAATGGTGATGCAGCAACTGAAGCTTTTGATTCTCCAGTAATAAAGAAAATATCCTTTTATCCTTCCTTCATTTTTCCAACATAATCTTTAAGTGAAATTTATTCTTCACCACTCTTTGATGTATGGAATCTAAGGAATTCACTCAATTTAGTTCTATTGGCTGAATCTTCATGAATACCTAATTTGAGATTCTTTGAAAATTGTTCATAGAATTTCTTATAATCTTCAGCATTTTCACTGATTTCTTAGAACATTTCAATACATTTCTTGGTGATATTCTTCTTGATTACTTTCAAGATCTTGTTGTGTTACAAGAATTCTCTTGAAATATTTAATGGTAAATCTTCAGAATCAACAACTCCCTTAACAAATCCCAAATATTCAGGGATTAATTCTTCACAGTCATCCATAATGAATACTCTTCTGACATATAATTTAATATTGTTCTTCTTCTTCTTTGTTTCGAATAAATCAAATGGTGCTCTCTTTGGAATAAAGAGTACTGCTTTGAATTCCAAACCTCCTTCAACTGAGAATTATTTGACTGACAAATGTTCTTCCCAATCATTTGTCAATTATTTGTAGAAGTTAGCATATTCTTCCTTAGTGATTTCTTCTGGTTTCTTCATCCATAAAGGCTTGTTCTTATTAACTTATTCAAATTCTGTACTGACTTCCTTGATCTTCTTCTTTTTCTTTTCAGCCTTATCTTTTTCTTCTTAGACTTCACCTTCTTCAGCCTTTTTTTCCTTGTTTTCATCTTCATCATCACTTACTTCCTTTTCTGTAGTTTTTTCAATTTATAATTCAATTGGGAATCCAATGAATTCTGAATGTTTCTTAACCAAATCCTTAATTCTCTTTTCTTCCAAGAATTCCAAGTTATCTTATTTCATGTGTAAGATAATTGTTGAACCTCTTGTTAATTAGACTGGGTTTTCAGAGTCATCATAGACAAAGAATGTTCCACCAGCTTATGATTCCCATCTGTATTATTATTCACCAACAGCCTTTGAAATGACAACAACCTTATCAGCAACCAAGTAAGCAGAGTAGAAACCAACACCAAATTGTCCAATCATAGAAATATCAGCTCCTGAGCTCAAAGCTTCCATGAAGGCCTTGGTACCTGATTTTGCAATGGTACCCAAGTTATTAATCATTTCATCTCTTGTCATACCAATACCTGTATCTTAAATGGTCAAAGTATTGTTATTTTTATCTGGAATAATCTTAATCTTGAAATTTGGTTCAATGTTCAAACCAGCACTGTCTGGGTCTGTAATAGACTTATATCTAATCTTATCTAAAGCATCTGAAGCATTGGAGATCAATTCTCTCAAGAAAATTTCTTTATTTGAATAGAATGTGTTGATAATTAAACCCATTAATTGTTGGATATCTGCATTGAAGTGGAATTGTTCTTCTTTCTTTTACTCAGTTGACATTACTAAATTTTAAACTAAAAAATATGCATCAATGGAACTCGATTTTATACACAAAACTGATTCTAGAAAATTCTCTGAATTAAATTAAAAGGAAATTCTATAATAATTAATATAAATTTAATTCTAAATTAAATTATATTGATTTTATATTCTTTAAATTAATATATAATACTTATTTAAAAATGCTATTTAAAAAATAGTACTTTAAACATTTTGTTTTTGTTTGATTAATCTATTTATATATTATATTTAATATCATAAATAGAACTTATAAACTATTTTTTGAATTAAAATAATATCATATCTATGAGATATGTTTATTTGAATTCAAATAATTAAATTAGTCATTTATTTAAAAAATATTCATTGTAAGTATGTTTCTGTTAATCCTATTTTAGAATATAATATATTATCAAAAATTAACAAATTACAAGATGATTTAAAAAATAATAACAAAATTTATTTTGAATTATACTTCCTCTAAAAATACTTATAATGTGATCACTAAATAAATTTTATTGAGTATTTTAACAATAAGGAATTGATATTTAAAAGAATATACAATTATTGAAATAATATTAATTACTTTAAACATATATAGAGTCTCCTCAATAGAGTTTATATTTGATATTAAATAATAAAACTTTTTTAAGTGAATTAAAAAATGACTTTTTTGAATTTTATTAATAAAATCTTTTAACAAAAACATAGCTTAGTTAATATTTATTATAAATATTTTTGTTATTAAAAGTTTAATGATAAATTAAATAAATAATAATCAAGATAGATATAAAATAATGTTATATAAGCTTGAATTTGATTAATAAAGAGAATTAAATAAAGATAAATTAAAATTTATTAGTAATGATTGAATGTAATGATATAAAATTGATAATCTTTTTTTGTTTCTGTAGAGTGAGTGGTAATTATTGTATAAGTCATATTTTTCATGCAAATTTAGTGTATTATAAATGATAAGGTATTACTAATAAAAATGTGCCTAAATAATTAATAAAAAGATTTAAATAAAAAATCAAATTTTTATCAGGAATGGCAGCAAATAAGTTCTGGAAAAAAACTGAAGTAAGAGTATATGTTCAATAATGAGTTAACAAATTTGGAATAATAAGTTGGTGTTGCATTGACCTAAATCGAGCAATCAGTCACAGAAGCCAAGAATCTTAAGGTTTCATCAGTTGTTGATTATACAGCAAAAATCAATGCTAAAAAGCAAGTTTATTTAGTATTCATCCCTCATCCATGCTTATCAATCTATAATAAAGTGAGGTATCCAATTATGTAAATTGCTTAGCTCAAAATTATTACCAGAATTAGAGAAGAGATTGAAGGCAACAATATTAGTTGTTGCAAAAAGAACAATTGAAAGCAAATGGGTTAAAAATCATAGATCATAAACAAGACCAAATTCAAGAACACTCACATCTGTCTATGATGGTCTTCTTGATGATCTTGTTGCACCATCTACAATTTTAGGAAGAAGAACAAGAGTTAGAGTTGATGGTACTAAATTCTATAGAATGTATTATTTTGAATATTTATAATTAGCTTTTTGGATGAATAAGATAAAAATGAAGTTGAACCAAGACTTGATGCAATCAAAGCTGTCTATAAATTATTAACAACAAGAGAATTAGAATTTGAATTCAGAAGAGATGATGTCTTCTACTCAAAAAGAGGTGGAGCTAAGAAAACAACAAAAAAATGATGAGCATTAATATTTTAGTACAATATAATAAATACATCAAACAAACATTAATTTTCTACTTTTAACATTAATATCAATCTATTTCATAATTTTATTATAGAATATTTAAGAATAAGTAAATGATCATTATTATAAATTTGTTTTAGAATATAATATTCTTCTTAGAGTTTCTGATGTCATCCCTCTCCTTCTAGTGTTGTTTTAATTTTAATGAAAGTCTATTAGTTTCGATAATTTAAAGATAGTTTATACTTCAGCACCCAATTTAAGAATTATTTGTTTACTTAAATTACTACAATGAGATGGATTTTAATCATTTTCAGCTTCTTGCAAAACATCATCATAAGCCTATTAATAATTATTATTATAATTACTGAATATATTTTTGTGTACATCTTTGCATCAGCTTATAAATTATAATGTATTTTATTTTAGAATTCAGAATCTGAGGAGACTTCATCCCTAAAAATAATAATATACTTTACTATCTTATATTATGACTTCTAGTTCTCTCTTCAATTATAGTTCTATTAAATACTTCTGATGTATTATCTAAAGATATCAATGGTTTTGGAGCAAAATTGAACATCAATAATTGTTGTGGAGAGAAAATGACTTCTTTAAGTTTTTCTAGATCATTCAATTTTGTTAGGATATTGAATAAATCTATTTATTAAGTAATTGAATCACTAATCAATTAAATTTAAAATAAATTACATTGCTTTATTCATCAATTAGATATGTTTTTTATTATTAAATACTTTTTAACAAGTTAAAAAATTAATTAACATTTAAAAAGTCATTAAGATTGGTTATGATCTTTATATTAAATTTTATATTTGTAATTAGAAATATTCTAAACCATTTGAACAATTTAATTTTAATGCCATAGCTTCTTATTCATAAATAAACTTATTTTTTTTTATGTTATGTTCTGTTTATTTCTTTTATGAATTTCGCTATTATTATTAAGATGAAGGACTCATTTGTTCACTGAATTTCAGTAACTCATTTTTTGATTTTTAATTTATGGTACTTTAATGTAATGGCTAAATTTCTAGATCTACATCTGAATTTCGAGGCTTTTCTTAAAATGGAATTCTATCTTATTTATTATAAATCATTTAATTCACCAAATCTAAATTCTCTTAATAATATTTTTCTTTTTGAAAAGAAACTAAAGTAAATTCATATAGTTTATTTGCTAATTCAACTAAAACTTTAAAATTAAAATTATTAATTACGTTGAAATCTATTATAAATTGTTAAGATTGTTCCAACAAAAAAAATAAAGATTTATTAAATACCTCCTAAATTAGATAATAATTCATCTATTTTTAAATATTTCCTAAATATTTTTATTTTATAAGGACTTTTTCTTATTTAAATTTGTACAAAGGATTATGGTTGATTACTTTATAATTCAGTTCTCTCTTTAATTTCTGATTAATCTAGTGTGTAAAATTAAGAATATTCTAAATAACTAAAGGGTAATAGACTTTGATCATTTGTAACTTCATATTCTTTTATAAATAAATCTACAGATTTATAAATATTTGATGGAACAAATCTAAAGAAAAATGAATCATCTAAAAATGTTTACAAATAATTATCTTCTGGTTTGTAGGGATTTAATATCTATAATCTAAATCATTTTATCTTTTTACTTTATTAATTGGAAATAATTTAATTTTAAATGCTCCATTTTTATCAATTTCTTATTATAATTCTTCATTTGAAGCGCAATTTGTTTTATTAGCACATTTTTAAACTGATATTCTCAAATATTCAAATTCTTAATCTAAATGAGTTATTTATTTTTTATACTTGAATACGTTCCTTAAATTGAAAAAGATTGGTTATAACTACAAATATATATATAACCACTTACTCGAAGCATAAAAAATCATATAATTTAAATTGATTGAATTATTCTCTCATATCGCGTCCAAATTAAGAGAATATTTTATTAAAACGATCTAAAGTACAAGGTATCAATTATATTTCTTTTTAACTCTAAATTGAAGATCCATTCAAAAATTTTTGAATACGTAACTAATCAATTTTAATGTCATAAAAAGGCTTAGATAAAAAATTATCTTAATCTATTTGAACAGCAAATAAAAAAAAAGAATCATCTATTATTGATAATGTTGGAATTTCTTCAAATTCAGTTAAAACAATAGCACTTAAACTTTCTTTGTTGAAAAAGGATGTTATGTTAGATGAGAATATTAAAATTAAAATTATTAGCAAAACTAAAGAAGAGCATCCTCCAAAAACAGTTTTATATGAACTTTACTTATTCATTCTTAATGTGATTGATTATCCAAATATATCCATTTTTGAGATCCCTAAAATATCTATAGATATTACAATGGCTAATTCTTTACATACTTCAAAATTACAAAGGTTTCAAAACTTTAATTAATAAACATTCAATTTTGTTGATTGTATAATTACTGTAAATTCATAAATATATTAAAAAGTATTAATTAAAGAAATCACTTATTTTTATTGTCTCTAGAACTAATACTCTGATTTTCAATAGTTTACCTTAAAAATTATTATCAAAATCTATTTTTAATCACAGCTCAAAATAATGAATTTAATCACTAAATTTTAAATAATTCATAGTATTCAAAAGTAATATTATTGTTAAGTTACTGTTTCTAGACTTTCTAATATTCTATTGATTTATTTAATTTTATATAACATATTAGTAGAGATTAATTATTATATAAAAATATGATAATAATTATTAATTATTATATATATAATAATACTATATCAGAAAAAAATGATTTTAAACAATTTTCTCTTATTATATATATTTATAATTCTAATATTATCATGATAATTTATTATAATTAAACCAAGTAAGATAATTCATTTATAAGAATATACTCCAAAATAAAATTAATACTATAATTAAAATATAATAATTATTATTATTATTTTATAAATCTTCACTCTATTATTGGTTCCTTATCTATAAAGATCATATTCTATTAGTGTCCCTAATCTTTTTTTATTTTAATGTGTCATAAAGTATTACTCCAACAATAAATTAATATATATATATATATATCATAATTTTATATTATTAAAATTATTAATGAGAGCTAGAGGTCCTACAAAAGAACAAGAATCAATAGGGAAATCTGTAGATAATAATTCAGTTCATAAAAGAAGATAAGAATTATGGGAAAAGTAAATGGGATCAAATTAAGTATGTTAAGGATATGTTTCTAATACTCAGGGAAGTGCTGAGTCAGGCATAAAATAGTTTTTGTCTTCAATGAGGAAAAATGGCAGTTTTCAATAAATAGAAAGTCAATTTAGACCTAATATAACAGAAAATGAAACTGAATCACCCAATAAATCATAACTGAAGGTGACAGACACTTAATTATTGACTCCATTACAAAAACATACATAAAAGAACTAAACAACTTATGATATTTTATCTTAGATCTATGAATTACAAAATAGAAAGAGTAGAAATCAATCTTTATTGGAAGAATTAATGAGAAAAACTAAATAAGCAAATGACAATCTAACGTTTCAAAGAATACTATAAAGAAAAAAATACTATAAAAGATCATAGAGATGTTAATCAGTAGCATAAAAGGAATATGAATTAGAATAACTAAAAGGTTAATTGATTTAAGTGAAATAAGTTTAAGTTCAACAAATTTAAAAGGAACAAACACCTAAGTAACAGGATAAATTAGTACCACTTTTAATTAGAAAGGAGAAAACTAAAAGTCCACCTTCTAAAGATAATGAGAGAAAGAAAGTACAAGTTCCTATATGCAAAGCCAAAAAAATAGTGATTGATGATACTAGATTTTGGGATATAGGATTTACTAAATTTATATAGAATCCAAGTTATTAGGAAATAAATTAATTAATTAATTTCTGTAATGGCATACAAGTAATTCCAGCGTTGCATTAAAAATATTATAAGTTATTTGTAGGTAGAGGCAATAATCATATGATGATAAAAGGAATATTTAACTTAAGACCATAATGGAGTATTGCAAATTCAATTGATGATGATACTGAAATTAATTTTGTATGGACTCAAAAATTCATAGATTTACAACCTTCAGAAATAAAACCAATTCCTCAAACTATAATATCTGAGGAAATAAATAGTTGGATTGATTCTTAATAAATGAGTTTGATAAAATAAGCTTGGGATAAGGTTGAAGGAAAATCAAAAAAGAAATTAAATGAATATAATATTGATAGTCCACCAATCTTAAATAATGTAAATATTTTATTTATGAATTAAAGTTACAAAATTAAAAAGAATTAACTCAATTAAATCATTAGAATATGAACATTCGTATTCATAATCATCTTAAGGGTGGCAATCAATTAGGTGATAAAAAATGGTTATTCCATAATTTTTCTGAATATTGTTCAGAGTAGAATATTGATATTTGGAATTATATTCCATTGACTTATCATATTCATGGACCAACAGATCGAGAATTCATTAATTTCTAATAAACATTTTAACATCTGGCCTTAGACAAAGATATTAAAAATATATGGATTATAAAACCAGGAGAAGATAGTAATAGAGGCAATGGAATTAAAGGTATTCATATTAGATTTATAATCTAAAGTCTCAAATTAAATGTCAGAAATTGTCTAACACATATCTCAATAAGGTCATACGTTTATACTTTAGAAATATATAGAAAATCCATTTTTATATTAAAAGAGAAAGTTTGACATAAGAGGATATTGTTTAATCACTATAATGAATGGCATTAAAAGAGGTATCCTATGCTGATAGAAATAGTTTATTAGTTTATTGGTACAAAAAAGGTTATTTGAGAACATCAAGTAGTTTCTTTACTTTAGAATCTTTAGACAATCAAAAGATACATTTAACTAATGATGCCATATAAAATAAATTAAATGGTTATGGAAAATTTGAAAAAGGAAACAAAGTCTCTTATGATTAATTCTAAGCTTATTTAATAGAACATAACAAGTAAAATAATACTTCATATAGTTTCGATGAATTATATGCTGATATGAAGGTATTAAATAATTAATATATATATATATTAGGCTCTTACTAAATTGGCCACACAATCAGCTATTGATAAAATCACAAATGATGATTAAATTTTAGGATTTGAATTGTATGGATTAGATTTTATGATTTCAAACAGTTTCAAGCCTATGCTTATAGAATTTAATACTAATCCTTGTATAGAGACTGGATGTCCTGTACTGACTAAAATAATTACAGGACTTTTAGAAAACCTTATGAGATTCATCATTGATCCTTTATTTCCAGCTAAAAGAATGGGAAATGATGATTTTATGAATAAAAATGATTTTGAATTGTTATTATCATGTTGAAATAAATTATTTATTAACCATTTCAATATATAATTTTATTTTTCTTATTAGAAGAATATTATTAAGGTTGATTGTAATGTATAAAAAATATATTGTTATATTAATTTAAATTTGAAAATAAATGAATTTCGATAAAAGTCTAAAAAATAGACAGACTCTATCATTTACAGGATTTTCTCCAGCAAAATCAAATATTAATATCGAGGCTTCTCGAAAGAATCTGCAAAGTTCATCCTTTGGATCTCCACATCATGCATAATCTCTTGAGGTTTAATTGAAATAGGAATTTGAAGCTTAATATAATGAAAGAATTTTAACAATGCGAAGTTTTTATGATATGAAATATTAAACACTTTTTGAAACAGTCAAAGAAGCACTTGATAAAGTATATTTTTAAATGTATAAATTTTAGATTATGAATGATGAATTAATTGATACTATGAGACAAGATACCACTTCATAAGAATTTGTTTATTAGAGAGTTAAAGAAATGTTTGAGGAAATAATACTTAGTGAAAGAGAAGTATTAATAGAAAAACTTTCATCTTAATATGCTTATCTGAAAATGGAATTTGGTAAAATTGAATAAGATAAAAGAAAAGTATCATAATCATCAAATATTTAGTTAGCAATAGAATTATAAATGATATAGGATGAGTAATCTGATAAGGAAGCCTAAGTTTAAACTTAAGTTTAATAAGCTTAAGAACAAATTTCATATTTATAACAAAATAATGATTAACTGTAATGATTTAATATTTAAGTTAAGGAATAATAAGGTTTAACAATTAGAATAAAAATTATCATCTGCTAGTTAAACTGCAAAAGAGATTTAATAACTTTAGACTACAGCTAAAGAATATAATATTCTTAAGGAAGAATATGAATAATTAGTTTAGACAAATGAAAAATTATAATTAATTAATAAATAGCAAATTTAAGAAATAGAATAATTACATAAAATAAGTGAAAATTTATAGTTAAAAGTATAGTAATTGAATAAAATCTATTAAGAATTAGAGGGTGAAGTGATTTCATATAAAAAAAAGTCTACTGATTCAGAAGCTAAAACATAATTTACTATATCAAATTTATAAAATTAATTAGAAGCAGTTACTTTATAATTTAATTAATAAAAAACAGATTATGAAAAAAGATTGGAAAAAGAAGCTTAATCTTTTTAAAATGAAATTCATAAATTAAGTTAAAAATTACAAAAGAAAAAGGAGAAATCAACATTTCATAAATAAAATGCTAAATAATTATAAATTAGATTAGATTAACTCATTAGAGATCATGCTGAATAGTTATAAAATGAAACATAATAATTTTAAAGAAAGATTAATGAATTATAATAATAGAATCATATTCAATTACAATAAGCTTAAAAATCATTAGATGATTTAAAAGAATCTCATGATAAAAATATTTATAATTTAAGAAATTAATTTGAATAAATAAACAAATAATAATTTGATGATTCAGATAAATAAAAGATTAATTTATTGAATGAATTAGATAGAGTTTAAAGTGAACTTGAATCTGTTGTGTTATAATAACAATAATAAATTGAAAGTAATTATATTCCAAAAATCTAATATGAGTAATAAGTTAAAGAATTATAAAAGAAAATAACAGACTAAAATTAAAAATTAAGAGAATAGGATGCTCTTATGAAAAAATAATAAGATGAATTTGAAAATTATAAAGAATTATGGAATAGATAATAAAATAAATTACATTTGGATGTTAAAGATAGAAATGAAATATAAGAATAACTTTTAGCAAGAGAAGAAACAATAAATAATTAAAATAAATAAATATCTTAATTAACTTAATAAGTTAAGATGTTGGAATCTGATTATTAAAGATTATAAGAGAGATCTAAATAATAATTAGAATATATTGAAGAATTAAAAAATGATGTAAGTAATCGTTAAAGTGAAGTTCTTAAAATCTAAAAATAATTAAAATAATAGAAGGATGAACTAATGGAATAATATAGATAATTGGAAGGAGAAAATAAAACCAAAAATGATAAAGTTTAATTATTAAATTCATAATTAGAAAAATTATTAAATGAATCATCTGAAAATGAGAAATTATTAAATTATAAAAGTAAAGAACTTTAACAATTAGAAGATGAACTTATGTAATATCAAAATTTTAAACGCAATGCTTTATAATTATAAGAAGAAAATGAATAATTAAGAATTTAAATTGATAAATTAATTAATATATAAGAGTTATAAGAATAAAAATAGGAAGAAATTAAAAAATAATTAGATAATGAATTAAAATAAAAGAATTAATTGATTCTCAACAATGAATCACTTATGTAAAGACATTAAAAATATGTAAAAACTATCAAAGTAATATATATATATTAATAAAATTAGGAATAAAGAAAATATATTAAAAGAAGAATTGTTAGTGAACTTTAAAAAATTAAATAAGAACATTCTAGTTTAGAACAATATTTAAGATAAATTATGAGGATGAAAAACAATGAAGATAATTTATTAATTGCATCAATTGTTACTAAAGTAAAAGATTTATGGAATAGAAAGGAAATATAACATGAAAATGAAATTGTATAAATATCTATTTTATTATAAGTTAAAAATAAGGAATGAAATATTTGATTAATATAGTGGAAGTGCATCACATTTAAGAACTGCATATGAATAAACATTAGATGAGACATAAAAATAATTTGAATAGTAAATAGAAAATTTAAGAGATGCAAAAGAAAAAATGGAAGATGAAAATAAAGATTTATTACATGAATTATAGAAAGTATAAGTCATTTTAGAAGATTAATCTGCTTTAATTACGAATTTAAAGAATGAAAATAAAACATTAAAAAGTAATGGTATGCTAATTGAGAATGAATTATCTACTACTTTGAAAAATATGAATGATGTAAATATATATTATTAATTTATAGATGAAAGATTCTTTTGAAGATCAAATTTAAGAATTAACAAAATAATTAAAAAAATATGAGAGAAAACAATAACATTAATAAGATTTGAAAGGCTAAATTGATAATTTATAAAATGAATTAGAAAAATTAAGAACTTTAAATAGGTCTAATAATTAAGAAACAGAAAATAGAATAGCTAAATTAGTAAAATAATAATAATCAGAAGTTTAATTATTGGTTAATTAATTTTAAAGAGAATAAATAAAACTAAGATAAGAATAAACAGATCTTAAAGATTAAGTATCTTAAAATGAAGAGGTTATTCATAAATTATATTAATCACTTGATGATGTCAATTAAATTGTAAATTAAAAAGATAAATAATTATAAAATTTAATTGAAGACATTGAATAAGAAAGAGCTTCTGATTAATAAAAAATAACTGATCTTTAAAATAAGTAAATATCTATTTATTACTATTAGATTGAGGAAAGAAGAGGATGAGATAAAAGTAGCACGATAAAAAGGTTAAAGAGATATTGAAAAGATTCAATTATAAATAGCTTCAGCTGAATCAGAAATAAGTTAATTTAAGATAGAGAACAAATAACTAAGAATATAATGTGAATAATTAGCAGAAGAATTAGAAAAGAAAACAAAGTAATTTGATTAATTGAATAGAGAATATGAAGATTAAAAAATTATTTAAAATTAAGAGATTGCTGATTTACATAGGTAACAATATAAATTGATTATTAGATTACTTAAAATACAAGTATAAAATGATGATATGTCAAATTATTATAGTGAAAGTAAAGAATTGGCTTAAAGAGTTAAAGAATTATAAAAAATAAATTCATAATTCTCTGATAACAATTATCTAAAAAGATAAGAATCATCTGTATAAAAATTTGATAGTTCTAAAAAATTAAATTCAAGTAACAACTTGAAACCTCGCCATACTAATTATACTCCTATGACTAAAAAATGAGGATGGGGAGGTGATAATTAAATATATATAATAAAAAATTTAAAATTTTGATAAAGTTTGCATTCTTAATATATATATAAATTAGTAATTCTAAAATTAAATGAAAAAAATTGGAACTACAAATAAAAAACTATATTATTAGTATATTAACTATTTAAATTTTAGAATATAAATTTAAGTTTTTTATTAGTTACTTTCCAATTGATTTCGTATCATGCATTATATATCTTTATTATCATCTGTAATTTATGTTTTTGATAAAAATTTGTAATTTATCATCTAAGGAGTTATTTTGATTACCTACATGGTAAAGATTAAAATAAAAAAAGAAAATATCAGATTATGTAATTATTTATAATTGTGTAAATATATAAAGGGATTTAAGTATGGTTTTTAAAATTTATATAATAATAAATTAATTCTAATGTAGAAATTAAATTAAGTTGAAGATAATCAATTACTTACAAATAAATAGACTGCAAAACCTAATTAAGCAATTGAATCTCTAGTAACTTAGAAGATGGTTGCCTATAAATAACTTTATAGATATGCAACATAATCAGATAAATTATTAATTTCGATTGGTATCTTAGCATCTACAGGGAATGGAGTAATAATGCCAATGTTTTTTGTTATATTTGTTGACATGGCAGATGCATTTTCAGGATAGGATCCAGATAAAATGATTAGTGCTGCTGGATAATGTGCTATGTATAAATAAATAATATATATTATAGATGGTTCTTAGTTTTAGCAAGATGTGCATGGTTACTTTCATTTTTAAGTTTCACTACATTTATGATATCAGGAGAAAGATAGAGTATAAGAATGAGAAAAGAATATTTTAGTGCAATTCTAAGATAAGAAGTAGGATGGTTTGATTCTATAAATCCAAATGAACTCAACACTAAAGTAGCAGATGAAACATTTGCTGTAGAAGATGCTAAAAATTTTCAATAATTAGTGGATGGTAACTAGGTTTGGTGATTACTGCAGCTATGCCATGTTTAGCTATTTCAGTAGTTATAATGACAGTCGTAGTGATAAAATCTATTAAAGCCACTTAGGAATGTTACTCTGCAGCTGCTGCTGAATCTGAATAAGCTTTAAATGCGATAAAAACGGTCAAAATGTTATATGGAGAAGATTTTGAATGTGAGAAATATTCAAGATAACTAATTGTGGCAGCCAACACAACTGTAAAATATAGTTTATTCTCTGGTATGGCTTTGGGATCAATTTTTACATTCATGATTTGGACATACGCATTAGGATTTTATTATGGAGCTAAATTAATATCTGATTAATTGATTAACTCTAATACTGGAATGATATATACAGTTGGAGATGTTATGACAGGTTTCTTTGATATTTTGATGGGTAGCTTTTCAATCGGATAAGCTGGTTCATGTTATTAGCATTTGCAAAAGGAAAAGTAGCTGGAGCATAGATCTTTTTCATTATAGATCGTATTCCAAAAATATTGAATCCAATTAATTAAAAACCAATAAAAAATTTTAATGGTGAAATTACTATTCAAGATGTTGATTTCTTTTATCCAATTAGACCAGATACATAAATTTTAAATAAATGTTCTTTAAGAATACCATAAGGAAAGAAAGTAGCTTTTGTTGGAGAAAGTGGTTGAGAGCAGTTCTTAGGAATGCTAACATACTTTTATTAGATGAAGCAACAAGTGCTTTGGATGCTAAATCAGAAGAGATTGTTTAAGAGAGTCTTAATAACATAATGAAAAATAATACTACTTTATCTATAGCTCACAATTTCGACTATAAAAGTAAAATATCTCATTATATATATTTAGGATTATGATATCATCTATTTGTTTGATAATTGTAGAGTAAGGTAATTACAACTATTTGGTTGGGCTCAAATAATTCTTTTATAGAATGGAGAAGGGTTTAGCTATTGCTTCTACGAAGAATTTTTGATATATTTGTCTTTATTACGATTTAATTATTTTAACTACAAATAGTTTTAATTATTTTCTTTGTTAAGAATTTGAGAAGGAAGTTAAAAATAGAAAATAAGTTTCTCCTTATTTTTAATTTATTCCAATAGAACTATTAAATTCAATTTCTCCATCATAATTAAAAAAAGTCCATACTTATAATCTTTTAATCAATTATTTTAAAATTAAATTATATTATNGGAGAAAGATAGAGTATAAGAATGAGAAAAGAATATTTTAGTGCAATTCTAAGATAAGAAGTAGGATGGTTTGATTCTATAAATCCAAATGAACTCAACACTAAAGTAGCAGATGAAACATTTGCTGTAGAAGATGCTAAAAATTTTCAATAATTAGTGGATGGTAACTAGGTTTGGTGATTACTGCAGCTATGCCATGTTTAGCTATTTCAGTAGTTATAATGACAGTCGTAGTGATAAAATCTATTAAAGCCACTTAGGAATGTTACTCTGCAGCTGCTGCTGAATCTGAATAAGCTTTAAATGCGATAAAAACGGTCAAAATGTTATATGGAGAAGATTTTGAATGTGAGAAATATTCAAGATAACTAATTGTGGCAGCCAACACAACTGTAAAATATAGTTTATTCTCTGGTATGGCTTTGGGATCAATTTTTACATTCATGATTTGGACATACGCATTAGGATTTTATTATGGAGCTAAATTAATATCTGATTAATTGATTAACTCTAATACTGGAATGATATATACAGTTGGAGATGTTATGACAGGTTTCTTTGATATTTTGATGGGTAGCTTTTCAATCGGATAAGCTGGTTCATGTTATTAGCATTTGCAAAAGGAAAAGTAGCTGGAGCATAGATCTTTTTCATTATAGATCGTATTCCAAAAATATTGAATCCAATTAATTAAAAACCAATAAAAAATTTTAATGGTGAAATTACTATTCAAGATGTTGATTTCTTTTATCCAATTAGACCAGATACATAAATTTTAAATAAATGTTCTTTAAGAATACCATAAGGAAAGAAAGTAGCTTTTGTTGGAGAAAGTGGTTGAGAGCAGTTCTTAGGAATGCTAACATACTTTTATTAGATGAAGCAACAAGTGCTTTGGATGCTAAATCAGAAGAGATTGTTTAAGAGAGTCTTAATAACATAATGAAAAATAATACTACTTTATCTATAGCTCACAATTTCGACTATAAAAGTAAAATATCTCATTATATATATTTAGGATTATGATATCATCTATTTGTTTGATAATTGTAGAGTAAGGTAATTACAACTATTTGGTTGGGCTCAAATAATTCTTTTATAGAATGGAGAAGGGTTTAGCTATTGCTTCTACGAAGAATTTTTGATATATTTGTCTTTATTACGATTTAATTATTTTAACTACAAATAGTTTTAATTATTTTCTTTGTTAAGAATTTGAGAAGGAAGTTAAAAATAGAAAATAAGTTTCTCCTTATTTTTAATTTATTCCAATAGAACTATTAAATTCAATTTCTCCATCATAATTAAAAAAAGTCCATACTTATAATCTTTTAATCAATTATTTTAAAATTAAATTATATTATAATATAATGATTAAGTACATATGCAGACATATCTTGAATATAATCTATTTTAATTAATAAAAGTAAAATGGGATGTGCAGCAGGATATTCTCTTTAATAAGACATGGATTTGTCTATTTCTCACAAAAATTCTTAGATTTTATTACTAAATAGACCAATAAAAAACTTATATCAACCTAAAATAATAGAATCAACTTCTTTTTGTAATTCACTTAAGTAGTGTGATGAAGATGATAATTTAGAGAATCTTTTTGAAGAATGTTGTAAATTAGAAGAAGAGTTAAAAAATGCAAATACTAGAATTCTTAAGAAAGATGAAAATTAAGTATAAGAACTATAGTAAATTTCATAATAAAAAAACTTCTCTTAAACCTCTATATGTATGTATAGAAGAAGAAATCTGTTTAGGAATAATAATAAATTTCTAGATAAAAATGATAAAATCCCAAATAGCATTTTGAAAAGAAAGCGTTTAAAAGAAGGTCAAGTATTTTCAAGCAACATTCAAAGTAAAATAAAAGTCTAAAAAGTTGTTAGATTTAGTAAATGTTATATAAAACTTATTCCAGAAACTTAATTTTCAAAGAACATAATAAATATTTAAAATTAGTCTAGTGATGATTTGAATGATAATGTAAATTAATAATGAATTTTGTAATATCAAAAATGAAAAATATGATTAAAACAAAGAGAGGAAAGACATTTGATAATATTTAATTAAATACAATTCTTGCACTTTGTTTAGTTTCTTTAATTAGTTAAAGATATACATAAAAGTTTATAATATAAATTTTATTATGACTTATAAATCGACATAATAAATACATTCATTATACAATTATTTTTTTATGTACACTGATCCTGTGGCAGAATTATTACGGCCTAAACAATCAAATTTAATTAAATCGGGCGACTCTGTAGGATCCTATCGTCCAAAAAGTATACAATCAAATCGCAGCAACAAAAATATAATATCCCAATAATAATAACGCCCTCCTTCTTAGTAGTCTTAAGTTGGAAGTAATGGTGCAAAACGAATAGTTCATATTGGCAGGAATGGAAAGAAAATCGAATAATTGTCAAGCATTGCACCAGCTAAGACAACAAATGATCTTTGCTATGAATTCGATCCATTTGTTTTAGATCAAATTAGTCCAGAAGATCCAATTTGGAGATAAATATTGCCAGATAATATGTCATTAGATGAATAAACTTTAGAGAAATTATTGGAAGATAACCCAGATTATTTTTATCATCATCTTGGATTTTGTGCATGTTATCGATGCAAATGTGGTAGATGCAGATGTGATGTCTCGAATTAAGTTAAATTAAAGATAAATGGATCTTTTTTAACTGTTTATGATAAGGATTTTATTCCTCATAAATCAAGCTATAATAATCTAACACCCTTGAATTCTAAGACATATGCAACAAAGTTTCTCGATTAAAAGACAATTGATTTTACTACATCTCATCAATAAGACTATAAGGAAATGCCAATATAATCAACTGAGAACTTCAAACCTCCTTATAGACCATAATTAGGATCAATGTCTAATCTAACTAGCTACAGAGTATAATAATACAATATATATTTTAGTCTAATTATAGTAATTGGGGAAACAATTATTAGAGATTTAGTAGATATCCTCATATTAGTACAAGTACAGATATTAAATTTATTGGTAAAACTCAATATTAAGATTCATTTGTTCCACCTAATAGTTGGAAAGTCGAAAGCTAAAATTACTTTAAAAGTGAACTGTAAATAATATAATTATTATTAAAGATCTCCAATGCCAACAGGTCCATTTATGGGAATGACTACAAGTCAATAAAACTTTTAACCTTTCAAAGTAACAAGAAGTCCTTAAAAACCTACACATCATGTATATTAAAAATATATACTTTAATTAGAAATATGAAACTACTCCATCTTTTGATGGATAATTCACATCTACAGGAATGAAGGATTTTACTTAATAATAAGATGATTATTGCCCTGCTAAATAATTTTAGAAAATATTTAGAAAAAAATTGGCATAAAAAGTGGAGAAGAAAAAGGAAAATTTTATAGAACGTAGAATTAATAATGCAATGAAAAATTGATTGTTTTTATCTAAGTTCATTTAATAAAAATAATAAAATATTAATATAATGAATCATTTTGATAAAAGAATTAAAATTATTATAAAATAATATCAAACCGAAAAATGTAAGTCTTAACTAATAAAACTTACAACATATGCATTTTCCATTAGTCTGTCAAATGGAAATAGTGTAAGTAATTATTTACTTTGTTTGTATTGATCTTTAACTTTTAAAATTGTTTTAATTGTTATTAATAAAGCACAACTCATAATAATACTTGCAAATCCAAGCATAATTGAATTTATTACAAGAGTTGAAGTAACCATTGTTTTAATTGTATTTGTTATGATTTCAACTATAACATGAAATCCATATTAAGCATATAATCTCTAAACTTATGATTAAGAATTTTTAATGAATTCTTAAAAAGAATAGATAGATTAATTATTAATTTAGAGCAATTATAAAAACTCAAATTGATTTGAATATAATTCTTATACAACAAGAGTTAAACCTTTCTCGAGATTGGGATAAGATTAACATTATTCAAAACTAAATAGATTTGCATATTCTAAATAGCTATACTAACTAATTAAATTAGAATATAATATTATACTAAGAATTAAATAGCAATTAACAAATGCTACTAGATAAAATATCATAGATATCACTATTTGAACTTTATTAAAATTAAGAGAGATTGGTTGTAAGTGATTTTAAAATTTCAACAGTAATATTTTATCTATCTATTCCATCTTTTTAAATTGTCTAATTTAATAAAATAGCTTATTATGCATACGATAATGATAGATAATTATTAGTAATCTCAAATTAAGTTTTTTCATTTTATCTTGTATAAACATTTGATAAAGTTTCTTTCTAAAGAATATAACTCCCTATAAAATAAAAAGAACACATAAATGCATAAATAAAGATAAATAAAAAGAAGAAAATCTAAGCAGAATTTGTTTCTATTTAAATATATCAAAATAATAATTACATTTAAATGAGATTTATTTTCCAACTTTATTATGTTTATCTAACATATTAGAAGTTACTGTTTTTTGATATTAACGCATCATTGTTGTTTCAAATTATTCTTCATCAGTCTCATGATTCTTAAATTTTGTATTATTTAATTAATTGTATAAGGAACTATATTGTAGAAATTATTCTTAAATGACTTCTTTTGAGAAAGTGCAAAATAATTTATATATTTTTGTTTTCATTTAAATTATTTTTAAACATAGATATATATATCGAGTTAGAAATAATATTAATACTATTTCTTCAATAAGAACACTAAAAATATATATATTAAGATTTACTATATTCCTAGATCATTTGATTAAGTAATGGATTAAGAATTCTTCATTAGATTTAATTAAATATTAAATTAATCAGTGTTATTCACAAAATCTGAATAAAATATTTCTTCATTCATTCTTTATACTTTTGATAATTATGATAAAATAATTATCATTCTACTTTTCATTGTTAAATTATTAATCATATTAATATGTGGTAATCTTGTTATTGTTTAATCAATATCTTTAATATGATCTACAAAAAAGTCTAATGTTACTTCACTTAAATTTTTAAATTGGAATTTATCATCATTTATAAATGATTAAGTTATAACAAATTCATTATAAAAATATGAAAATTAAAATGGTAAATTTTCATAATTTTAGTCTTAATTTATGCTTTCAAATTCAAAATATAATATCAAATAATTCACAAAATATCCTAAAATAACTAAAATATATATAGTAAATAAAAATAATTTAGTTTGAATACTTAAACCTCTATTATCTGATAAACAATCTTTCATTTATCTTTTTAATGCTGTAGTATTATTTTAAGAAGATCTACTTCCTACAGACCCAGAATTATATTATAAATTTTATTCTTATATTCTTTATTTGAATTCAGATTCACTATCACTTAAATCATTACTTTTTTCTGATATATTTATATTATGTCTAAGTTCAATAATTCTATCTTCAAAATAATTCTCACTGTCTTAAATAAGTCTTTTAGATGACTTTTGATTATGAGCTGAATTAATCATATTAATTTATGCTAATTAATTTCTTAAATCCCCAACCATTTTCAATTCTTCAATAACATTTTCATATTCTAAATCACATTCACTAATTTCTCTTTAAAATTATAAATCATTAGCAGAAGCCAATAGATCAACCTTCTAAGTAATTACATCATTTTAAGTTGAAAAATTTAATAATTATGAAGATCTATATCTTAATTAAATTAATTATCTACTAGTAACTTTTTAATTTTAGACTTGTTTGTATTCTGGCATTTCTAAAATGACTAATCTAATAATAAATAAATAATATAACCTTAAATTGATTGTAGTTAAACTCATAAGATGTAATGAAACTTAAAATATAACATTTTCTTATGGTTAATTTTCAAGTGATCTAATAATATTTTATTATAATAATGATTTGCTTAATACTGTAGTTCTTGAACTTTATAAACTTTTTGAGATCTATTTACATAACTAAGGTAATATTAAATGACATTCTAATCTAATATCAAGTTTTTCAAAATGTTCATTAAATAAACTATCCCAAATTTTAGCTAATTCTGGCATAAAAATTAAACAATCTAATCCTTTAACACATTCAAGTTCAACTCCTAAATATTTCTCAAATACATCATCAAATAAATTCTTAGTCAATTCTTCAATTTATCCTTATTCATTTAACATCATATATCCATATGTAAAATTTACTGGTGTAATTAATGCAGTAGCACCAAATTCAGTAGTACTAGCTTCAAGTCTCAATCTTGTATTGATAGGTACAACAAATTGAGATTTTGTTTTACCTAAAATAACTCTAACTGCATTTCTAACTACATTAATTCTCCCTCTTTCAACAAAGTTATCTAAATATAAATCATGATCATTTGCAATAATTTATGGCATAAATCTATTAATATTTTAATCTTATATTTCTTCATCTTAATATCCTATAGCCTTTTAAAAAGTTCTTGTATATCTAATAACATTTCCTCTAGGTTAAAGCAAAGTAATTTATATTACACAACTACCAGGATCATATATTATTTTTTCACTTGATTATAAGAATTGTAACATCATTTAACCATCTCTCCTATATAATTTAGGTCTTAATTTATTGTAATGAATGTATTTGTGAAATATATTGTAAATTGTATCACATTCATTACTTTATGGATTAGTTTTATATAATAATTGTAATTACTTTTCAAGTACTTTAATATTATCAAGAAGTTTAAAACCAATATTAACTATTTAATCAATATCAATAACTTAGGTTAGAATACAAGCATAGAAATCCTAAAATATATACTATAAATATAAATACTTTTTCTTATTTAACAATAGTCTAAAGATTACTTTTTAATACATTTAAAGATTCTTCATATTAATATACTTTTTTAAAAACAAATTTCTAATTTACTAAATCATTTTTTCTAACTAATTCAGAAAATTTATCAAGAGCATCATGTTTCAATTTTCTTATTATTGCCTATTATTTTAATGTTTATTCCTAATATAATAAAAATAGTTCTTTACTTTTTACATCATAGATAATCTAATAACTTCATATATTGCTTAAGTTGGAACTTTCTTAATTTAAACCAAAAAATAAATATATATTAACATTAAATTAATATCTTAGTTTTCAATTATTTCATCTTCTAATGTCTAACCAATTAATTCTTTTGCAAATTATTTCATTTATTCTAAACTTTAAAATGTATCATCATCTTTAAAAAAATCAGTACAAAAACATTTATATTTTAATTTAATATTTTTTTAAATCTTTCTATCTCTTTATAATTTACATTCTCTTAAATGAGTTGAAATAAATGTATAAATTTCTAAAGATTGTTTAGGATCCATTAATCTCTATTACTTTTTTAAATCAACTTATTCTTTGAAAATTATATATAATCTTCTTATTTATTTTTCAAGATGAGTATTTTTAAAATTGGCATTCTTTAAATCCTATTTCAATATTAATTCATTTGCAATAAAATATATTACAGGATAAAAGATTAACAATAACAAAACTACACTTATTTTTAATTATGGTTATCCATATTGACACAAAAGTAAAATCAATTAATAAATCAAACAGAATGTTGTAATTTAAAAATTGTATCTAGATATTCTATAATCTACATAAATTTATTAATTATAACTATAAATTAACCTTATTAATTAATTTATTACTCCAAATATTTATATTACTAATGATTATAGCTGTATTCCAGATAATAGTATTATTCTAATATTCTATCTATCTAAAATATGTACAATAATTAAAATCCCTGCAAGAAATTCATTTTCTGTGTTTAAAATTTCCCCAAAAAGTCATACGACTTCATTCTATACTCAAATTAATGTAAGTGAATGAATAATCCAATTAATATTTATTATGTTATCAATAATATACTGAATATTAAACCAACATATTCTAATGAATTTAAACTTTCTGTATAATTAAAAATTAATACAAGATTCAAATATTTCTGTTAATAAACTAATCCCACAAAACAGAAATGGAATATGTAACATTTTTATGTTAATTTAAATGTAAAATGAAACAATCCAATTTAACAAATGTCTACTTGAATTATTAGATTCACTTGACTAATAAATCAATTATTATTATACCTGTTCTAAAGTTAAAAATTTTAGTTATTGTTTCTTTTATATTTATATTCTAATGTTCAAAAGAGAATACAATATTAGTATAAGAAATATGATTTGTAACACAAAACCAAAAATTACAAAAATTGATCTAATGAGGATCGAATTTCCAAAAATAGTGTACAATCTAATTAATATTAAAAATAAGTTCACCTACAGAAATCAATAACACTTCTTATATGTATCAAGAATTAGTCATATTCAAATTCAATTATATCACTTGTGTATATAGAAACCAGTTAAATGTTTTCAATTAGTAGCAAGACAATAGCAATTAAATAACTTTTTCTCCATGTTTCCTTAACATTCAAGAAATCTTAAATGTAATATGCCTTTGTCTAAAGAATAATTTTATTCATAATTATAAGAGGGTAATTAATTAAATATAATTGAATCCTATAGCTTATTAAAATCCTATAATATAATCAATTTTGTATAAACTAAGAGATTTTAATACATTTAAAAATGCCTCATCTTACATTATAAAGGACTATTATTTGTGAATAAAAGAGTAAATAAATAAATTTATAGAATTTCCAGATTTTAGAAACTAATTTCAATATTTAATTAACTAAATTTAATTTAATTATATGGATAAAACAAATCTTCTATATTCAGAGAGATACGATATTTATTATTATTAATATCTCATTAATATTCAGATTTTAATTAATATCATATGAATATATTTACTAAAATTTTTAGCAATACTTTCATCAGTCTCCTTTTAAATCAAGAAATTGAATGTATTGAAATAATCATCAAATTTCTATTTTAATAACTAAAATATTATAAAAGAAGGTATTACTTATAATTTAACATCCTTATCAATTAAATAGGCAAATTATTATCATCACTTTGACACTTTTCAACTCATAATTGCACGATTCCTAAGATATTTAATGTATTACTTTTAAACTTTAAAGATAATACAATTGAGCTTACTTGTTTAACATAATTCAAGAAATCACTATAACTTATAATACTGAAAAGAACTACTATAAAGAACATTTAATAGTAAATAAATTCAATTGAAATATATGTCCAAAATTTCAATTTGGTCTAAATTTAATGATTTTAGTTGCCATAGTCCTCTCAAATATAGATAGTTTTTAAACTACTCTAGATAAGCTCTCCTTTCCTTTAAAGAAAACCTAAAGCAATCAATAATTTTGTTTTAAATTAATACTCTCATACTATTCGATATACTAGATACACTTGATTTCATAGATTATTCTATTCTTTTTCTTCCATAGTTATTTAAATCTCTAAATTAATATAAGTAATTTAGCCTAAATTTAAAATATTGAATTACTAAAATATAGTTATCATATTTATTTTTCCTGGAACTAATTTATTGTAACAAAATTGTTATGACTGCATTAACTAAATAAATTATTTTCTTTATCATACTAATAATCCATTATGTTTTTTTTTCTAAAAACTATCATTTAACTTTAGGCACTGACTTAATGTCTATCTGATTCTTTAGTAATTATATTAGAAGAAGAGAAAAACCTAATCTATATTGATGCTTTACTTATCCTTAGGTTACTATACCTATTTCAAGTACAAGGATATAATCGTCAATCTTCTTTTCAACAAATCTCCTATTCTATTTATGAAATAACTTTCTATCTTAAAATCAAAAATAAATTAAGATTAATATATTTTTTTGATATAAATGAATATTATTATTATGATTAATCACATCTGAAATTTTCCAGTTCCATCTGACATTGGTCTGATTTGAGATAATTTTAAGTTTCTAAAACTCTTTTTTAGCATACGACTTCTTTTTAATGTATTTTCAAAATCTTATTCTGATCCTCTTCTAGATTCTTCAATTTCAAATTTAGGAATTATTACTTATTAATATCTATATTTTTCAAAAAATATTTCCGGATAAATCATATATTTTAATAGTTTAGATTGATAATTTTTTAGTTCATTATTTAATGTATACTATTATTTATAAAAGTACATTTTTTCTAAGATTGAATCTAAATTATTTTAAATTTAATAGTATTTATATTTTTTATATGATTCCATTATTAACTCTTAATCATTTTTTTAATATTCATTTAATTACTCTATTTACATCTTTAATTTAATTTCTAACAACATTGTATCTTAAATATCTTTTTCTTATAATATTTGTTTTTTTCCATCCTTAATTTGTTTTATTCTTATTCTTACTTTTGATTATATTGCTTTTAAAAACTGCTAAGATTGAATTACTTCTAAGAATTAATTTACAATTGATTTTGTTTCTTTTTTTAATTTTTATCTTTTCTTCATTCTATTCATATTAGTAATCATTTAAACTACTTTCTTCATTTTTTGAATGCTTTCCTTAGGTTTCTTTCTATATAAATCTAAACTAAATGATGCCCTACTTTAAGATTGTTTTTCTTTTGGAGAATTTTCTTGATTATCCTCTTCTTTTATTATCATAAGATTATTATTAAAAATATTTTAGTTTCTTGCTTTACTCATAAGTGATGCTTTTAATTATTTATCATCAATGTCTAATAATTCAATTGTTTTTGTTCTTTATTTAAATAAAGTGGCTTTTTTCTTTATTTATGGTGGTTCCAAATTGATTTTAGAGGATTAATCAGACACTTGTTATATGGTATTAATGATATTTTGTGATTATTATAATTATACTTATAAATTTAAAGTACTTTATTCTAAAATTGGTACTATTGATTATTATTATTGAATATCACTTTTTTTTAATTAATCTTCTTCTGGTTCTTCATAAAATTCTGCCCATTTCCAATTATTATTATTAAATGAATTTGCTTCTTATTCAATTACTTCTTAATCAAAACGAGCTGCAAAGTATCCTCTCTGTCTAAAAGGATTTCTCTCATATTTAGAATTTCTATTTTATGACTCACTGTAACAATATCTTTTTAAAATTAATTCTTTGTCAGGTATATAATGTAATAAAGGACATTAAAGTACTCTATGATTTTTGGAATTACAACTAAAACATTTCATTTATAAAACACTTAGATCTTCTAATTATAAACTATCATAAAGATTTCTAAATCTTTCATAATCTTCTGGAAAATCTTATATTACTTTTAAAAAGTCATCTCTTGAAAGTAAAAGTAATTTTGAAAATCCAACACTTCTGAATCTTTCTTAAGATTGTTTACCACTTATAAAACTTATAATACCTAAACTAGAACCTTTGCCAACCTTAAATACTTCAGCAATCTATGGGTTATCAAGGACTTAATCAATAGAATCATTTTAAATAAAGATTTGAATTTCTCCAAATTCAACAAAACAAACAAATAATTAACCTGGTGGTAATTGAGGAAATAGTGAATCAAAATTTATAATATTCTCAGGTTAAATTACTGCTTATTTTATTTTATTAACTAATTTTGATTTTAAAGCATCACTAAAATTATTTTGAAATAATGGACATTCATTTAAAATTAAAGAATTTGATTGATTCATTAATTTTTCTTTAAGATTTTCTGATAATTAATTAATAATTTCATTAAGTTCATCATTCTCAACTTAATTTTATGATTCCCAATAATAATTTAAGTATTCTCTAATTTAATATTATAATTAATATTCAATCTTTCTATTTTACATATAAGAATTTATCTTTCTCATTTTTCTCATCTTCTCTTATCCATAAGCAGAAATAGTATCAATTATAGCACCAACAGTACTAACACTGTAACTTAATTGAATACTACATATCATCATATAAAGAATGGCAATAACTCTTTCTAAATAACTAATTGGTACAACATCTCCATAACCAATAGTAAACATTGTAACTGTTGAGAAATAAAATGAATATAAATATTGTACTTACCAAGTTTCATGTTCTACATGATAAAATTCTAACCAACTTCCTTTTTCTGAATATAAATAACTATAATAACCAACCTAAATAAATAATTAAATTAATAAATTACAAAATACCAAAGACATGAGTAACAATGTAATACAAAGAATAATACTAATAATAATTTAAATAATTCTAATAAAGAACTACTAGGCTTTGATAAATTTAGAGTTTCTTCAATTTAACTAATCAATTTTGGAATATTTCTACATTATACATAAAACAATAACATTAATAAATCCCACCATTCTGTTAACAAATTAAATTAAGATTAAGTTGAATTAGAAATTATAGCATAAATAATTAAAATTAATATTGATATTGCTTCTAAACCATAACTTTTACTGATTACATTCTTAGCAATAGTTGCTCTATTACTTACTATTTATCCAAATTAATAAAATGAACTATTAAAACTCAAAATGAAATCAAAAACTAATAAGAGAATCATAAGAATTGTTGGTATATAGAGTTCTCCATATATAATCTTATATTTATTCCATGCTAAATCAATTGGTATTGTAAATAGAAAATAGAGTCTACTTAACATTACAACACAATCCCATACTATTTTTAAACGTGATTCAGGTGTAATTAATGGAATCTTTTCCATTTCTTATTGAATCTTTTTAATTAAATTATCTTTGCATGTCTTTAGATGTGTAATTTACTTTTTTATTTTTTTGGATAATTCTCTATTATTTATAGAAAAACAATTCTTTACTTTTTTTTGATAATTTATTATAATCCTTCTGAAGATTAACTAAATTAACTTATCATAGGTTTCAAATTCAATGCACTATCACGAAAGAGTTTTAAATTGAAAGAAGACCCTAAATCTTAAATAATATTGTATTAATAAAGGTTGAATTATGAGTTGATTTTCTTTTTCCAACTTATTCTGTTAATAAATCGTTTGATAAAACAAAATTAGATTACACTAAATATTTATTGTTATTGATGTTGTAATTATTGAGGATCTGAAGATTTTTAGCTTTTGTGATTCATCAAAAATTTTGTTGTTGGACTATTAATAGAAGAATCAAATGTAACTCTTTTTGTTTCATTACCTTTATGTTTAGAACTTTAACTTGGTATATTGTTATTAGTGTTGACTTTTGAACCTTAAATTGAGAAGTATCCATCTGATAATGAATAATTGAGAAAATCTTAAATTTCAGCAATAGGTTCATCTGTTAACATTAACTGATTTAATTTTGAGATTGGCCCTTCAGTGTCTTACTAATTTTAATTCATATTTAAAATAATTATGTTAAAATCTAATAATCTCATTTGTGTTCATTACAATGTATTAGTATTTTCCTATGATTTATTGAATGAATAAATGAGTTCTTAAAAAGCAGAGTAAAGTATACTGGAAATCTAATTAAATTTATATTCAATAATTTTGGCATAAAGCTAATTAATAAATGTTCTATAAGCACTCTCATCATTCATCAAGATTTACTACATTAAATGAAGAATCATATAATCAAGAAACTTGTGATGCAAAGTCTAATAGACCATCTAGAATGTTTGTTTCTACAAGTTTAAGCTTATATAATCGTCCTTATTTATACTCAAAAAGTATACCAAAACCACTTATTGAGGAAGGTAACATTTAAATTTAAAGTTGTATTTTAAGGTTACAGATCCAAAAGTATTCTTTATCATATGTGTTTATTATCAAATGATATAAATATAAAGAAGAGACAAAGTAGAAGGGAAAGAGAAAAAACAATTTTATTCACAGATAACATGGAATTATATCATCATAAAATTATAAAAAGAGTTAAAGAAATGTGTAGAAGGAAGAGTTGTAATTGTGAAGGATGTGGTATAAAAACTAAATTCGAAAAGAAACATGATGATTTTGAAGTTCGTACTTAACAAGCTATAACTTCAGATTTAAAGTTACTTTCATTTACTAGAGGAGGATAAAAGAAAAAATAAACAATAATTAAGGAATTTAAAATAAAATAAATTAATGAAAAAAAAATTAAAGCATAGTTTTCCTCAATGAATACATAATTAATAATTAATTTACCATTGACTTAAAGAGAAAGTTTTTAAGTCTATTAATAATTAGACACTTAAAGATCTCTATTAAAAACAACTAAAAATATCATATAATCATTACCATCCATTAAAAATATAGTGCCTTTAACAATTTTAAAATAAATTTATATTGCTGGTAAATAACAAAAATAATGTGCTATTCGGAAACCATCTCATGACTCTCTAATAATGAAAGCTTATAAACTGAAATGATATTCAGAGTTTACTTCTCTATTATATCTATTTTATATTATTTATATATATATATTATATCTATCAATACTTTTTATACTTTCTAATATATCTAAATAATTTTAGTCATTCTAATTATAATATATATAGATATATATAAATGATTTTCAAATAATTTTAATCTTTAATAATACCCTTCCAATTTATATTTCTTATACATCTTTTAGTAATTATAGTTTATTTTGAATGATCCTTAATGTACCAAATTTACTGTTAAGATCTTATATATACCAGTATTTTTCATATGAGATATTGGCATGAATTCTTGAAACTGATATATCTTGACATCTAATCTCACTATTGTGTCCTCTACCAATTGATACAGAACATGATCCAAAAGCATGCATAAATGTCAAACTCTTTGATAAACTTTCTTGTCTTGTAATTTATTCAAGAATGATGTAGGGACCATCTAATTTCTCAACTTAAATCATTTAAAGAGGTTCAGGTTAATTCTCAATATAAACTCGAGCAGGAAGAGGATCTTTACAAACCTACCTAAATTTAAATAACATACATCACATTCTAAAACTTTATTCCATTGATATTAAACTGTATTCTATGTTTATCTACATGATATTCTATTTTAAAAATTAACCCATTATTTTAGACATTCAAAATGTACATATGCCATTAGTCCTTTGCAACTGCACAAATCTTAAAGAAATGGATTTTTAGGGTCTTCTGTTTCCTCTTAATCATCCATTAAACAAAATCTACATTATCTTGGATCTTTCTTCTTTTGTATTTTAATATGTCTTTCTAATTTATAAAGATCTTCAGCCATCATTACTTTATCTCCATTATTTAACTCAGATACAAAATATTCCCTTATATTTAGGGTAATTTTTACATTCTTCCAAATTTAAATAGGTCTCCTACATATAACTATTATTTTTATTATGGATCTAATTTCACATATGCATCTTAAAAGTCTGGATTACTTTTAAAATCTACAAATGCATTATCTATTTACATATAGAATTGCCTTCAAAACTTATTGATCCAATGCAATCACCAAAAATTTTATCAGATTATACTATGGTATCAGAATTGTCTTCTGTATTAATATTTATGCAATATCATACCATTTAAAATTAAGTTAGTTGTATTTCTCACACTTATTTTGGATGTCTTTAACTCTTTTGATTCATAATCAAATAATCCATGATTGTTATGGGTCCATGTTGCAATCTCTATTGAAACCTACATAAGTATATAAAAATTATTTTTTAAATATTTCAAAGAGTGAAGAATAGGAATATCGAAAAAATCTGTAATATGCCAAAAATGAGATATTTTAGATTCTTTTACTCAAAAATAATACATGGCTAAGTATAAGAGAAATTGAAGACATTCTTAAACAAAGATCTGACTATGGATCTATTCATGTTAAAATTAGAGATGCTATTAAATATTCAATTAATAATGATAAAAATAAAGATGAATACAAATTATTAGTAATAAATAATCAATAATGAATACAAATAATGCTACAAGTAAATATAGACAAAAAACAACGAATAATTAGATGAATATTTTAAAGATAAAAAATGCATATTATATGTTGATAATGTTTGGTTTAAATCAGTAAATAATCTTCGTATTAAATTAATAGTGTTATCCTTTAATGAAATAAGACATTATTACATTAGAAGCTGAAGCAAAATTAATTTTTACTAAAGGAAGAGATGGGAGAAAAAATAAGTTTATAAAATTACAAGTTTACAAATTTTGAAGATAAATTATAATTTAAAAAAGATTAAAAAATTATCTCAATGATTGAAGAAGTTAAGAAAATTAATTTAGAAATAAATGGTTTAATTTTAACATTAACATTAGAGCTAAATATAAAGTTAAGAAGCTATTAAAAGAAACACAGCTGTTCAAAATTATTGGATTACAGAATTACAATAGTTATTATAGAGAAAATGAAAAGAGATTTTTATGAAAATCAAATTTCATTTTTTTTTAATGAATTTTTATTCAAAAATTATTAGTAATATATAGAATCAAATCATTTTATTGATTTTAATGAAATATTAGATTTTAGTCGTAATTCCTATGAAGATTTACAATTTGTCTTTGGATATTTAGCTATATGATATAAATTTGATGATTCTTTTGAAGGTGTTATACCTTTAACAACACTATTATTAAAACTATTTGGAGTTGGTTCTTTGCGCTACTTCGAAAATTGATTTAATGATTTTGAAATTGCTAAAATGCCACCATTAGAACTTCTTCTACTTACATCAGTCTTTTGAGGAGATTTACTAAATTAAGATATTTCAAGTTATTTTCTTTGTTCTTATAATTGAGTCAACATATTATTTAATTGTAATATTTCTTATTCAAGCAATGCCTTATTAGGTTTATTTTTAGATAATAATTATTCTTAAGTATTCTCAATAGCTAACTTTATTGTATTCAAATATTTTTATAATTCTGTCTCTTAATTATTAAAATGATCAATTTTCTTTTTGAATTCTTATTCTAATTATTCAATTTCTTATTCTATTTTATTTTAACGTTCTATATATGGTTTTTCACTTCCATTAACTTTTTCAAATTCTTTTTTTGCATTATTAATAGATTACTAAATATTCTTTAATTAAGGTAGGATTTCTTAATCAACCATTTGAATATTTGTTTTAATAGCTAAATCTTAGAGATAATACTATTATAGTAATTTATAAGTATTATTAAATTATTCCTTTATAAAATAAAATTAAATTTTACTTCTTCTTAATCTTGCATTAATTATTGAATCTCTTTCATTGTCTAGTCAAGTATTGTTTTATATTCTGCATTACCTAATTAAGTTAATATATTATTAAGTTCTTCTTAATTTTAATCCTAATATTATTGAAAAGCCTCTTCACTTTATTAAGTAATTCTTTCTTAAAATTAATCATATAATCTATTTTGGATAATATAATATACATCTCTCTTCTATATAATGCTGAAGACTTTTCCTCTTCTAATTCTCTTATTTATTGTCTTTTAACTTCTACTTAATAATCAATAGTGCAAACTTCATTACTTAATAATAATTCATCACCATATTACTTTAAGCTATGTTTCAAATCCTAATTAAGTTAATATTGATTACAGATAATTATTATTATAATAATCTTTGTGATAAAGAACCTAAAATGAATTATTCCAATTAGAATACAAATTCTTTAATGCTTCCCCAATTATTTCCTTAATTTCCTTATTTAAATAGGTTATTTCTAAATTGTTGAATAAAAGTAGAAAATTTAGTTTAAAATTCAATTGACTCTAGATGAATTGGTGAATTTCCATAATAATTTATAAATTCATTTAGAATAGAATCTGGATGTTGTAAATTTAAACTTTTTTAGATGGGTACAATCTTATTTCTTAACGATTTAACCTTTTGAGTTTATTAATGTACTTACACTTCTAGTAAAGTAGTTTAATGAAATGAAGCTAATTATTTCCTTTTCTCATCTTATTAACAATATAATGATTAAATCTGATTTGTAATATTATTAATATTTTTATTAATATCTTTAACCTTTTGATCACATTAATAAATAGATTCAACAATTTCAGTAAGTTAAGGATGCTCATTTTTAAGTTGTTCAACAAATTCCTCTAATTCTTCTTTCTAACCAACTAACTCTGCTCTCTATAATAGTTTTCCATTCAAATCTTCTTATAAAATTGCTTTAGTTTCTAATGTTTAATTATAAGTTTAATGAATTTCATTTCTCTATTTAATAAATTATTGATGTTCTTATGTTACTAATTCATATTGTAATTTGAGTTTATTGAATTCAGTTTCGTAATAATCATAAAGTATAGATTATTGTTTATCAATATCACTTTGCATTTATTGATAACTAAATTATTTATTTATAATACTTTTGTTCTTCCATTCGTAAATCTTATAGTTTAGTTTGATATATCTATTAATCTATGGAACATGTAGATTCACCAAGTAAAGTTGTTATCTTCTACTTGATGTTACATTGATATTGGATTATTTTACGATCAATCTATTCTAATTAATCCTGTAGATAATCAGATCCGCTATTTAACACTTCATTGATAAGCTTATGAGATATATTGCTTTGTCTGATAATAGAACAGTATTTTGGAGAGTTCTCCTTATTAGAACGTTTATAAGATGGACTATCTGTTAACATTCAATTTTAACGATAATTAATAAATTTTGCTCCTTTTTTTTTTAAAGAAATTTATAAATTATTTATTTTTTAAAGGACATGGCTCAGATTCCAATAATAGATCATTAATCACATAGTACAGATCATTCAATTGACAATTAAAGTGATGAAAAGTCTGAAGAGTCTTTTGAAGTGGTAGAAAAAAAAATTAAGTATAAAAAACAATTTTTGGAAGAAGAACCTAGGAAAAAAAAGAAGGATATATGTAGAAATTATCAAATTATGGGTATTTGTAAATATGGAGAATAAGTAATATTGTTTAAATTTATATTTAGTGTTTTTTTGCTCACTCTCCTTCTTATTTATAACCAACTTCTTAAGAGTAAGTCTTGAAGAAAACTAAGCCTTGCAGAAGGTACTTCAATGGTTCTTGTTACTTTGGTTAAAAGTGTCAATTTTTACATTCTTAATGTATTGATGTAGTAGAGCAAAGAGAATTCATTGAGAAATAATATAAAGAATTAAAGTTGATGGTTCCTTTAAATCCAAGTAAGAATAGAGACTTATAAATAGCTAAATTAGATCAAACTTTGAGATTTGATTTACAAAGATTTCACCATCTTTATAAAATTTTTGGTAGAAAATTGAACTTTAGAAGAGATGAATTAGTCATGAATAGTTGTAAAAAGTATGAATCATATTGATATTTAGTCGTCTGAAGATCTTCATATCAATTTGTAACTAATCAAATAGGTTCGAATAGTTATTGATGTCAAATAATACAAGCAGAAAAGAAAGTGAATAAAGCTGAACACACTTTTATTTTGTTAACTTTAATTAAATCATAATTTTAATGTCTTCATTAAAGGATATAAATTTAAACCTTATTCTCTGGTTTCTTCAACTTTTTATATCGCAAATTTCATAAAGATATATCTCTATCTTATTAAGCTCTTAATTCTATTTATTTTGATTCTTTATGTTCATTCATATACTAATCTCTTCTAGCTAATTTTGTTTTTTTCCTTAATTTAATAATCATAATGTTATTTATATTTTTAATAATAATCCTATAATTCTTTATTACGTTTCCTAAGAATTTCTTTTTATTATTCTTCTCATACAGATATTATTGTAATGCATTTATTTTTAGTACCTATTCTTTTATTGCATCAACTTTTTCTTTCTCTTTGAAGGCTTCCTAAAGTTTCAATTATCTTAATCTAAAGGTATTTCCTTTTTTTATCATTTATATCTACTCCTACTCTTTTTGTCTTGCTACTTCTTCCTCATGTCTTTATAATTCTTCTGCATGCTTTTAACTCTTTACATATAATTATCTTCTTATTCTTTCAATTAAACAACTCTCATATCATATATCTTTTATTTAAGTTACATTTAATGTTCTAATTTTTAAGCTTTCTAATAAATTAAATTAGATTTACCCTTTATTTTCTCATTTCTAGAACTCTTTCCTTTTTATTTTCAAAATGATCTCTATCCTTATCCTCTTTTTTAATAATTTTAATTCATCATCCTATATTGATTATTTGACATTCATAAATTTCTTTCTTTCTGCTAATAGTTTTTATTTCTTCAACTTATTCATAGATACTCTTTTTCTTATTCTTTCTCTTTTACTTATTATCTTTTTATTAATTAATTATCCTACTTCTTACAATTTTGTAAATTACTTAAAGTATTTCTCTATCATCTCATTATGTTATTTTGCTAAGACAATATAAGTTTCTCTTTTTAATTAATCTTTTTATTGAGTCTTCTCTAATTATGCTTACTCCTCTAATTATCTTTTCAAACCATCATTCTTTAATCTTTCATCTCATTTTCACTCATAAGCATTTTTGACTTCATAATGCGTACACTAAAAATCGTTGTTTGAATAATTATCCCCTTTGACTAAATATCTTGTTAGTCAGTTTCAACCTTCACTAATATTTATATGAGATCTAATTTATTCAAGTTCAGTAGCCCCAATTACTTTATGATTTTATTTAATTGATGGTAATTAAAGAGACTTTAATTTAACTTCACTTTCCTCATATTAATATCTTAATATTAAATAATAAATTAATGATCATAGAATTTAATAAATTATTTTCATACTCTAAATCAAAAAAAGAACTTAATAAACATATATTCTATAAATTAAATAATGAACTTATAATTATTTAAGTATTAGAAAAATTCTTTATATATTTAAAAACAAATAATAATAGAATAGTGAATAGAAATCTAAAATAATTAATATTATTAAGTTTATTTTTAGAAAATAAAAAGTATGTATAAAATTATACATATTAAAATGACTATTCTAATTTGATTAGAGTTTAAATGCAATATAGGGAATATCGTATTTTATCTATTGAAAAAATGATATTATTATTTTAATTAATGAGTTTTTCATTTTTTTGTTTGATATTTGTAATGAATTAACAGTAAATGCTATTAGAAAATAAATTAATACATAGAGAATAATGATTTCATTGTAATATACATAAAAATATTTGTTGAGGTTATGAATCATTTTTTTTATTATTATTAATACTAGAATTTAGAGTTTCTTAGATTTGATGAATCCTCAACATTCAAAGTTTGCACTTCTTAAAAATTATGATTTTGAATTACCAAAAATGAAAGCTATGACACTTCATAGTTTCCATTGTGGTAGATTGAAGACTACTTAATCACCAGAACCTAAAATGCCAAAATTACAACAAATAACTTTTTAATCAACTCTGATTGTAAAACGACTTTAGCCAAGATGTAGATAAAGGAAAGTACAAATGCGTACTATTTCTTTACATAAAATCAATAATACAACATTAGAAAATAGAACAATAATTCCTTTAAATTAATCTATGGATATCAAAGGATGGTCATAGAAAAGTGTGATGGAAATATTCGATATATGATACTAATTATTTAGCATATTATAAATTGATTGAATAAAATAAAAAAAATCTTAATTAAATATAATGAACAAAAAGATAACCCTTTTCGTATTATTGGCTTGTGCAGTTTGCATAGCTACATTAATGTTTTCCTTCTCAACCTAAGGTATTGATATCAATTATAAATAGATGGAGAATTGAAATTAAAGAAAAGTCATTCTTTTTCTTCATCAAAGAATCATGAATGGATGGATGGATATTGGTCATCAGATACAGATTGTTAAGCTAAATGTAAAAGTGCTGGAGGAATGAGTTGTGGTAATTACTAATAAAATTGCTGTGTTGGAGCTAAGTGTAGAAAAGAGGAAGGTTTCTTTTCTTCATCATTAATATGTGATCAAAGAATTCCAGTACAAGGATGCACAACTCCAAAATGATATAAACATTAAATTAGATATATACAAATTTGATATGTTCTTCTGATACATTTTAGTTTATACATTATTTTGATACACATAAATTAATCCTATAACATTCTGGAAAATAAGCAATAATAATGATTATATTTTTGAGTCTTATAAGTATTTTCTATAATATTTGTTATACATTAATAAATTAATACTAAACAATCAATTGTATTTCTATATGACATTTGTAAATATGAAATAGATATACATATATATATTAAATTAGTTATTTTACTTTTAATTACAATATATAATAATATTGATCTTAAGTAAAACTAACATATAGATCTTTAATTTCTTAATAAATATTAAAGACCAAATTATGATTTAATTTAATAATCAAATAAATTTCATCATTATCATTAGCTTTATGATGACAAAACATATGCATTTAAATATAAAGCTTTTGAACAATTAAATTTAGAATGAATATATGACTATTCAATGTATATAAGCATATTCAATCATTCATCTGTGCATCCAATAACTCTAATTCTCTTATCACAAATTTCAGTTATCCATCCAATATCACATTTATCAGGAATACAACAATTCTACCAATTCTTTCCACAATTAATTCCATTAGCTTATTGACATTTATTTCTACATTCTTCATTATCATTTGAATATCCTATTTCTCTTTTATGATTATTTTTAAAATTGTGAATTTACTTTTATTTTAGGTTAGTGTCTTGATTTGTTTAATATACTATAATTAGTATAAATAAAGAGGCCACTACAAGTATTAAATATTTGTTCATATTATTATATTTTAATAATAAATATAATTAATTAAATTATGAATCCTTGATAAGGATACCTGTTGATTTACCATCAATGCAATTCTTTCAATTTGTAATAAACTTATGGTTGCAATTAACTATCAAGGAATTTATTGATGTAAGTTCCAATTCTTATTTTTTTAATATATCCAGCACTCAATGATGATTCTATTGATGCAGAAGTAGATGTTTCATTAGGTTCCCATACTTACCTTATAAAATCAAACTCATTCTTATTTCCAGAATCAATTATTTCTTAAATAATTTCATCATTAGTTTTCTTGGCTGCTATTCTTAAATTCATAGCCTCTGAATTCATTATAATAATAAATAAAATAAAAAATCAGACTTTTTAGTTTTCATCACTCATATTCAAAGGATAAATCTTATAATTCATATTAAAATTCTTCAATTCCTTTACTAATTACTCTATAGATAACTTCCCTAAAATTGATTGATTATTATTTTTAATTGAAAACAAAAGCTAAAATAATTATTTTGATATTAGATTTCGTTAAATCATATTAGATGAGTATATCTAAGATTATCAACTTTTTTTATAAATATAATAATTTCATATATTATTTTTATTTAACCTTTCAATTTATAATTTATTATTTTCATTTGATCATAAATTCTAATCAAATTTAATAGAAATATATAATCATTTTTACATTTAAAAGTAAGAATTGATATTTTTTTATATATTATTATCTATTTTCTTTATTTTATAATAATATTAATGTAAATAAATAAGTATACTTGATGTTAACTATAAATAAATTTAGGTTTATTTGATATCATTACTTATATTATATTATGATTTTTATTCTTATTTTACTCTTAATTCAAATTACAGAATATTATTTTTAATATTATTATTCTGAATATTTATCATTATAGCTTCATTATTTATTATGAGGATTATAGAATATACAAAAACATATAATTATCATATTTTATGGATTTCTGGCCAAACTATATATTAAATGGTCTCAAATATAAATTATGATTTTAAAATAATTTAAAAAAGAATTTTATTTTTCTTTTATGTTGCAACAACTAAATAAAGAAGTAATTTAGAATATGATGAATAGGTGTTATTAAAAAGAAAAGAAGCTTTGGAATAAGTAATAAAAAGAAGATTTATTTATTAACCTGCTTTTTCACTATATGGAGGAGTGGCAGGATTATATGATTATGGACCTGTAGGATGTGCTATTAAAACAAATATTGAGCAATATTGGAGAGAGCACTTTATCATAGAGGAAGATCTCTTTGAAATATCTGCAACAATCTTAACTCCAGAAGCAGTATTGAAAGCATCTGGACATGTGGATAGATTTACAGATCTATTGGTTTGTGATGTTAAACTAGGAACAGGATATAGAGCTGATAAAATAGTAACTGAGGTTTTGATATTAGTATAATTTATTAGACTTTGGAAAATAGAATTGCTAAAGAAGGAGACAAATTAGCAGCTGATGTTAAAGCAAGATATTTGGCAGTTATAAAGGATGTAGATACTTTTAAGGAAGATAAGATGAAAGAAATCATAGCAGAATTATAGATAAAGGCTCCTGAAACTGGAAATGATGTAAATTATTAATATAATGATTATAGTTAACTGATCCAACTCCATTTAATTTAATGTTACCTACAATTATTGGACCATCAACAAAGCTTCCTGCTTATTTAAGACCTGAAACTGCTTAAGGAATGTTTCTTAATTTTGCTAGATTATTGGAATAGAATGGAGGAAGAGTTCCATTTGGAGCAGCTTAAATTGGATTGGGATTTAGAAATGAAATTGCACCAAGAGGAGGACTATTGAGATGTAGAGAATTTTAAATGGCTGAAATTGAATATTTTGTTGATCCAAGTGAGAAATCTACATTTAAGAAATTTAATAAATATATCAATTTAGAAATACCTTTATTGTCTAGATAACTTTAAGCTGATGCAAAATTACATTAACCATATAAAATGGGAGATGCTGTTAAAGAAGGAATAATTAATAATGAAACACTTGCTTATTTTATTTGCAGAACATATCTTTATTTAGTTGAAATTGGAATCAATCCAATTAATATTAGATTCAGATAACATTAAGCTGATGAAATGGCTCATTATTCATCTGATTGTTGGGATGCAGAAATTGAAATGTCTAGTGGATGGGTTGAATGTGTTGGATTAGCTGATAGATCTGCTTATGATCTTAATGCACATTCAACAGCTACAGGATAAAAATTATAAGCAGCTCGTAAATTTAAAGTTCCATAACCAAGACAAGTCTTATAAATTATATTAGATAAATAGAAGATTGGAAAAGAATTAAAAAAAGATGGAATGAGTTTGATTAAATATGTAGAAGCATTATCTGATGATGAAAAATAAGATTTATTTGAATATTATTAAAATAATGAAGAGAAAATCTTTAATATTGATGGAAAAGATTTAACATTAAATAGATAATTAGTTAAATTTGAAAAGAAGACTATGAATGTTATGGAAGAGAAATTTATTCCTCATGTTATTGAACCAGCATTTGGAATTGGAAGAATATTATAAGCTATTATTGAACATTCATTCAATTAAAGAGATGATCCTTAAAAGACTTTTTTCAAATTCTCTCCAAGAGTTGCTCCTGTTAAATGTTCAATTCTTTCTGTTGTCCAAAATGAAGAATTTGATGTTGTTATTTAAGAATTAAGTAATTTTATATATATATACTTTTAGCATCATCACTTAAAAAATTAGGAATATCTTGTAAAACTGATAATGCTGGAGTTGCATTAGGAAAAAAATATGCTAGAACTGATGAAATAGGAATACCATTTGCTATTACAGTAGATAAAGAAACTCTCACTACTTAATCTATAACATTAAGAGAAATAGAAACTACTAAATAAGTTAGAGTTCCTATTGTTGATGTACCTAGACTTATTCTTGAATTAAGTAGTGGATTAATTCTTTGGACAGATGTTTTAACCAAATATCCTTTATTTGCTGCAAAAGAAGAAGATGCTTGAGTATTATTAAAGAATAAATAGTTAATTTTATCTTATTTTCTAAATATAAATTATATTTATATAAGTTTAAATTAATTACTTATTTTCTAATGAGAACTAATCATTGAAAAATCATTAATATTTTATTAAGGGAATATTAATTAAAATAATTTTATTAAAAAATAAATAGATGCATTAATAATTAAGTGCTTATGATTAGTATTTATTAATCTAAAATTTAGATTAGAGTAATTATACTCAAGAAATGACATTAAAATTATTGAATACTAATCTGCCATTAGTAATTAGATTATGTTATTCAGTTGTATTAATCTTGATCAAAATAAGACTTTTTTATAAATTTAGAATGATCAAATTCAAACAGAAATAGGTTTATAATTTGTTTAATATTTAGCTACTGTTAATGTACCTAGTGCAAAACCAATTCAACTTAAAGATTTATAAAGTTAAGAAATATGTCAAATATTTTCATAAAATTAAGATATTTATTTATACTCATTTACACATTCATCTCAAACTATTTCAGTTAGTTATCTTGAATATTTTGAATCATTTGCAATTACATATAATGGATTTACAACAATTTTAGAAAATGAATAAGATATCAATAGATGGAACCCTCCTAATAGAGAAAGATACTGTATAATAGTTTATTCCTTTTTTGGCATCTTAAATAAATTTAATGAATCTGCTCTCAAAAGTTTTAAGAAAGATTTATCTAATAGAAGTTTAATTGGTATGGGTTGTTATAAATCAATATAATGGTTTGGTATAGTAGAACATTATGGATAAGAGAAATTATTATCTCCAAATATAGTTAAGAACTTTTTATAGAAATATAATTTGGAATTTGTATTTGTTAAATGCTATTAAAATGTAAGTCTTAATTCTCTGACAACTATTTATGAAGAAATTAGAAATTAATATTTATTTGATTTTAATGATATGAATTAAGGTTCAACTATATATTTTTGGAATTCTAAATAATATTTAGGTTCTTATTTTATATCACATAAACATTATGAAATTTTAGAGACTGTTAAGAGAATATTTATTGAAAGGAAAAATAAATTAAGTCCATTAGCATTCCTAAGTGAATATGATCTTAATAATAATGAAATTTAATTTTATAAGAATTACATCAATAGAATATTATAAGAAACAAATAAAATGGACTTAACATTTTCAACACTTACTTCAATTATATTTAATAGTATTTTAATAGGTTCAGAAAAATAATTTCATAAACCAGGAAATAGATATCCATTATCATATTGTATGAAACCTACAATAATTGTAATTATCCCTATAGGTTTAAATTAATCAGGATTTGAGAGATTATTTCAATAATTATAATAAACATTCTTTTTTGTTAATAAAATAACATCACCAGAATAAATAACTAATAAATATTAAATATAATATGTTGATAGATCTTTAAGTTGGGAATAATGTATAAAATTGATTGATCAATTAAAAAAAAAGAAAGATGTACTGACTGTAGGTCTTTTGCATTAAAATAAATAATAATATAAATCAAATACTGGAGTATGTTTCCCTTTTTCATATGAATATATTTCATATAGTTTAATAGAATCATCAAATAATTATTAAGAATTTGAAGAAAATATTAAAATATTATTATCTTATCGTAATTAAGATGTAAGATAATTACCATTAAATGAATTATTATTTACATCATTATTACCAGATGATTAATAAACAAGAAGAAATTAAATTTTATGTGAAATAAAAGATATAGAAGAAATAATATTTAATAAAGATCTTAATATAGAATAAATGAGAAACATAATATTAAGATAAAGAAAAAACTAATTTCATATATAAGATCAATATTACTAAATGTTATCATATTATTTAATTGCTGAAATTGAATCCTAATTAAAGATTTTTCTATAAAATCCAAAAATTTCATAATCATATGTAATTATTACAATTTAATAATACAAACCAATTGAATAAAAATAAAAATCAACTTAATACTTTATTACTGATGAAAGTTGGAAAGAAATAGAAGATTATGTACTTGATTCATTGGACCTTGTAGCATAAAAATTTAGATAAAACGAGATTATAACTTAAACTATACAATTATTAAGTGATTAATTTTTGAATTCTGGTATGATAACTTATAATAAAAATTTAATCCCTTTTAATATCAATAAAAAAACATAGAAAATATAATCAGCTAAAATGTAAATTGTTGTAATTGTACTTAATGCAATTATCATTATGATTCCAGAAAATTCTAAATTGTTTTAAGGAATAACTATCTATACCAAATCATTGGAAGCTTCATTAATGCCAGAAATTTTAAATATTTTAAAGGAAAATTTATAAAAACTTTAAAGAGAAAATATTGAAGAACGATCTGTTTTAAATTAGTAATTTAATTTAAAGAATTAAGAATGGAATGCATTTATTGTTAAATTTTCATCAACTGAAATTATATTTAAGAACTTATAGCAGGAATGATTTCTATATGTATATTTATATATTATATTATTTTAAAAAGTTAATTTTATTTAAGATAACTTTAAATATAAGTAAAAATTTTATAGTCTTTTTTTAAAATCATTTTTTATTTTGGTTTAGATATTCAAATCCTATAACCCTTATAAATTTAATCTGATTTTAAAATAATGCCTAAACATGTTTAAGTTTATACAGAAAGAGTAACATATTTATAGTAATTTATTAGTTTGATCAAGTTTTGGAAATGCTTGTATCTAAGGTTGGAGAAGCAAAATGGGCAGAAATTACAAGATAAATGAAGAATTTGTATGGTATTAATGTACCTTAGAAACCAATGGTTTAAGCTAGATGGAGAGCAATTGATCCAAAAATAAACAGGGAACCATTTACACCAGAAGAAATGGTTCAACATTGGCATCATTGTGTTAGATTTAAATGTCATTGGGATGCTATAAGAGATTAATATGAATTAATTGGTCAATAAAGAGATAAAACATATTTATCTTAAAGATTTTCTATATATTTTACTTAAAAACTTTCAGAATTAAATAGAGAAATAGGAAAGATAGCATCATATAATTAATAAAAAATAGATACTATGAGAGAAACAACAAAAAAGAGAGTAATAGAATTTAATAGTAGAGATCCTTTAAGTGTTTAAGATTAATCAGCAAGAGAAATTATTGTTAGTTGTAAATCATTAGTTAAAGTAATGACTTATTTGATTGATAATTCACATCTGTAAACTGAATTAATGTGGGCTGAAGTTAAGAAAATTATATCTCCTGCTAAATTTTAAAAAGTATTATTCAATATTTTCATTATGGACACAATTGTTTTGATTTCATGTAATGAATTAAAAGCAATTGATGATACATCAGATTTAATTGATGCTGATGATTTCAGAAAGGGAAAATATATTAAACCAACTAAAATTAAATTTTGGAAAGATGCTCTTGAACATGAATCCAGTCCTGAACATACAGAAGAAGATGAAATTTTAACAACATCAGTTAGATTAAGTAGAATGGGACCATAAACATAATTCACAAAAAAAGATATTGAAGAAATTAAAGAGAGTTTCATATATAAATATTGTAATACAGATTAGAATAAAGCCTTTTATAATTGGTATAATGAAGCTAAGACATAAAAGAATGCATTTCCTTCAGATTTAACAGTAGATGTAATGGAATTGGAAGGAGGAAAACAATTACTTAATTATGATCCTACTTAACCTAAGAGAAAGTATATTAGAAAATAAAAGGCTGAAACTAAAGTATAGAAATAAATAGAAAAATTTAAAAGGAAGAAATAAAAGATTTAAATTGAAGGTGAAGGAAAATAAAGAATAAAAACAAAGAAGGGTAGAATTAGACTTCATAAAGAAAGATTTCCAGGTCAAGATACAATTTAATTTAATTAATAATTAGAAGAAGAAGAAGATGTATCTAGTGATGATTATTAATTAATGGATGCAGAATAGATCTATAAAATTAATATGAGAATGAATAGATAAAATAATGTCAGTCAAAGTGAAAATGATAGTTAAAGTAGTGATTGATATTATATTTTATTATGATAAATTTATATTGTTATAATATAAGATAATAAATTAAAAATAATAATTATACTAAGTATAGGTTTTAATTATATAATTTAGTTTATTTTCAATTATGATAGGTACTGAATAATATATTTGTAATAATGAAGTAATATAAAATCAAAAGTATTTTAAGCTTATTTAAAATTTTAAGAGAATTGAAAAGTTATCTTACTAAACTAGATCATTTGCCTTTATTATTTTAGTAAAAATAAAAAAAGTTAGATTATCAAAAACAATTTTAGAATTTAGGATTACATTATGTCAATCTAAATTTATTTACTAAATTAACATGATGCTTAATTCTTAGATATTTATTTGAATAAATCATAAAAATCTTAAAAGACTGATTTATTTAATCGAATATTTATAAAATTAATTTTGATTTATTCAAAATAAATAATTGTTCTTTTTTAAGTAAAATCTTTTTAAGACAAATTAATCATCTTAATTAATTGTAACTAAGAGATTTGAAATTTTTTAATGTTTTAATTAAATGATTATTTTTTATAAATATTAGATATATCTATTATAATGATATTGGTATATAATTATAATTATGTTTATTAAAAACAGGTTTATTTATTTAAATATATCAGAATTGATTTTTACATGAACTTGTTCAGCCATGATGAAATTAATTTATTGGAGGTATCCTAATAGAGGATTGCTAAGACTTAAAAATGTAATTGCTGATTAAAATAAGATGATGATATATAATTCAATGGAAGGATATCTTTCTCCTTTTAATTTAAATATATGAGAAGAGTTTGAAAATTTTCATCATATCCATAATTAATAGATCCTTCTTACATTATTATATGATGAATTTGATATAGAATAATTTATAAGTGATGGATTAATTTTAGAACAGTTTCCTTTGCATGATGTAGAAGAAAAAGAATTAATCATTAAATTTTGGAAAAATGAAAGAATAAATATTTTATTTGAACCATTTCAATTAAAAAAATCTACTAGTCGTACTTTTTGTACCTTATCAACTTATTTTGGACCAGAAGTTGGTATGTTTTTTGTATTTTTATTTTTTTTTTCAACTTGGCTATTTTTGCCAGCTATTCCAGGATTAATCTTAGGGATCATTTAATTTTTTGATGAAGAAGCTATTTCAGCAATTGCTCCAATTAATACTTTATGTATGGCTGTTTGGGCAACCATATTTTTGAATTTTGGAAGAGAAAATAAAGTGAAACTATGTATAATTTTGATATGCATATGGTAAAGGAATAAAGAAGAAATATTCCATAATTTAAAGGATCTTTTATAATAGAAGATGTAACACATACAATAGAAATAATGGACACTTGAAATGTATAATGGAAATACTTAAAATCTAATACTCCTTTAGTTATTTTAAAATTGGTCTTTATTTCTGGATAATAGACTGGATATTATTATCTTAAACAGATTAATTAGGATGATGATGTTTATTAAACTCTATGGGCTTGTCTTTTAGCATTAACAGTTTTAATAAGAAATGAAATTTTCAATTTCTTTTCCAAACACACCCTAATTTATGAGAATTATCAATTCCAAGATGAAAGAGAAAATGTTTATATCTTAAAAGTATTTGCTTTCACTTTTCTAAATTCTTTTGGTAGACTTTTTTATAGAAATATAATAAAACCTGATAAAGATGAGTTACATCTATTTAGTATTTCCTTTACTATAAAATTGTTTTTTGTTCATCTTATTAGGTATACTATTTATCCATGGATATCCTTTATTTTCATTAAATTAAAATTCAATAGGGACTTCAATAAATAAAAATAATTAAACAATAATAAATAAACAACTATTTAATAAAAAATAGGAGATACTGAAACTAGTGGAATGAATAAAAAATTTGATAAAGGAATATCTTCTTCTCAATATTTTCTTTAGTAAATTGAATTAAATAAAAGAATGATAGACCCACCAGATTATGTTGAATAATTCACTTATTTTGTAATTATATATAAGATATATAATTAGATGACTTAATTTTGTATGGTTACTATGTTTAGTGCAGGTTCCTAAATTATACCAATTATTGTTTTGTTTTTTAATCTACTCAATATTGAAGGATTGTTGTATGGTGAGAGAAAATTCGTCAAAAGACCTTTAGCAGAACCAAAAAAAATATAGGATTTTGGAATGACATCTTATAACTTGTTGGTTATATTGGTATAGTTTCAAATTGTTTAACTATTTATCAAGCAAATTAATAATAGTTAAATTTATTAATTGGAGCTGATGAAAGTTCTAATTAAGATTAAACTAATGTAATTTATTACTAATATTAGTTTGGATTGAGAAATTTTTTGTTGTTAATTGTTGCTGAACACATAGTTATTGGAATAAAGTTTGTTATTGAAGGAGTTATTCCAGATGAGCCATAATGGGTTGAATTAGTCTTGAAAAAAGAAGAATATCTTTCAGAATAAAATAAATCAAATATTAAAAAGAATGATTAATATATTAAACCACTAGAAAATAAAATTAAATAGGATTGATATTTATTTATATATATTTTATTCTTAATTATGTATTTTTTTGTTTAATTTTGAAACCCTTATTTTAGTTAACATTTTATGACAGAATGTGAATAAAATAAATAAATATACACAACATGTCTTAAATTTATTCAATTGTAATTTTAGATAATTTATGAATATGTTTATGCATTTAAATTATCTTTTGCAATCTAAATATAACTTATGTATTAATAAATTTCATTAATTAATAATTATTAAAATTCTATTTTTGTTTCCTTAATTCCTAAATAATAATTATTAATATATCAAAGATTCATATATAATTAGTCATGATATTCTATTAATGAATAAGTAATCAAACTTAATGTGGATGAGTCTAATGTTTGAAATAGTAAAATTTGGCTTTTTTAAATAAGTTTGCAAAGGATTGCTTTTATTTGAAGATAATTTTAATAAGTGTGATTAAAAATGAAATTTAAACAATTATCCTTAATTCTTATTAAATATTTATTCGATTGACCCTCACTTCATAATTAAATAGATGATTACAATGCAATAAATTTCTATTTAAAAATACAAATTTTATTTAATTAAATTACTATTTTTAGTAATAAATATAAAATAAATAAAAAGTTTTAATTCTTTTAAAGTCCATTATTTTTGGAAAAATATTAATTTTTAAGTGTCTGTTATTTAAATTAGGATATTAACTAAAATAATCTTTATTAAATTATGTAACTAATATTTTGATTATTTCTAGTCAATTTTTCATTTTAGGAGTTTAATCTTATCAATAATTTAGAAATCAGGATAATAATGCAATTTAATATTTTTGTTATATATTTTATATTATATTAGTTATTTTTTTTTTATATTATATTAATTTTTTAATGATTCATTAATTTTTTAAAATCGCATTATAACATGTTCTTAAAATTAAGAGAAAAAAATTATTCAGTATTGATATTACTCTTCATTAATTAAATAATGGAATAAAATTGTATTTATAATTAATGATTAAATATCAAATTTTTTATAAATATTTAATATAATAATAAGGAATTAGGATAGTTTTAGTTTTAGTTTTGAATATAAATCCTCACAATCTCATTAATCTATGTTATTCCTCAAGTATTTTTAAGACTTACTAGTTAAAACCTTAATTTTAAATTAATGGAAATTCAGTTATATCAGAAAAAATTTCTAGTTATTTATTTCTTGATAATTTTAAAGATTGTTTTTGTTAACATTTTAGATCTGAATTTTGTTTAATTATTAGAAATTCATTAGTTAAAGCCTTCTATTAGATTATAGTATTCATCTCTTGTGTAAAATTTTCAACAGCCTACTATTTTGTTAGTGAATTTAGAATTTGATATTTCTTGTTTAAAAGCTATTCTTTAATCATTTTTTCTTTAGAATCTCTTACATTATTATCTTCATCGTTAACAGATTTAAACTCCTTAATTTCTTCACCTAATTTAACATAACTCTTATTTCTAAAATTATAATCATCCATATACGTATCATCAGCCACAACTAATATTACTTAAGTTGTTATATTGAGAATTTTATCTCTTTTTTCTTTCTTATTGATTCTACCTTCCTTTTTATAAACTTAATATATAGCTTTAATTGTAGAAGTTTTATGTCCTGTAATCAAAGAGACCTGAAAATAAAAATAATTATACATGTGATGTAGAGTATTTATATTCTTCAATATATTGAATGATAAGAGCTCTTTCATTAGAATTTATGCTCTTATATTTTGATCTTTTATTTTTCTACTTTTTAATTTTCATCATAAAATAAATCAAAAATATGATCCCAAATAAATTTGTTTTTGAATGAAAACTTTACAAACTTTAAATAAATAAAGAATATATTTGTTAGGATAAAATGATAAGAAATAAATACTTTATATTTTTTAATTATTTAACAAGTGTTCATCTTAAAATAGTATTTCATGTGTAAATTAATTTAATTAAATTAAAGCAGTAATATTAATTTGATTATAATTTTCTTCTAAGATAAAACAAAAAAGAATCATAAAAAATATTTTTTTCCCAAAATTTTGATCTTTATTAAAAGAATATTTTTATTAGTTGTTTTTAGTTCTCCAACTAAATATATTCTAATTCTAAATTAAATTATTATAATTTTCATATCCAGATAAAATGCTAGATGTAAATTTAACCTTTATTGAGATTGAACAAAAAAACTATTTTTTTTAATTTTCACAACTTAATTTTTATTATTATCAAACAAAAATGATTATATAAATAACCTATATTGTTTCGATATTTTAATATATGTATAATTTATTAATATATTTTAGATAATACAATTTTTGAAGTGTTAATGTCTTAAATTTCTTTTGTTTATGATATTATTTTTAAAATGAAATGTTCTTGGTGAATTTAAATTTAGTCATTAATTTTATTTTTTACTATTTAACCAGGATACTTATCCTTATGTTTATCCATTCTCATTTTATATCGAACATAATTAACTCTAAATTTTAATATAAATTATTTTCTAAACATCAGCAATTACCAAATTTTTATATTTTCATGAATTAAAATAATCTAAGTTTTAATTAAATTTAATAGAGCTTCATCTGTTTATACTTCTAAAAGCATTACAAGTATTTAACTCAAGTTAACCCAAAATTTAAAATCAAAAATTTTTTTAATTTAAATTAATAACTAAATTGTTTTTTTTGTTTATATAGTAAGTTTATAAAACTTATGTTATGGAAATTTTATAAAATTAAAAAACAATAAATTATTGGAAGAGATTAGTATTGATGATAAGCATATTAAAATCAATTATTAATTTTAATTATTCATTCCATTCCAAAAACTCCTTCAAGATCATTAAGAACAATAGATCTCAAATATTTTCTCATAATTTCTTCACTACTATATTTTGGAAGTTCAAGTCTATTAAAACATGTATGAGCTATTGGGAAAGAATTGGCATTTATATAATCAATAGGAACAATCTAAAATTTTGAATACATTCCTCTATTGGACTCAAGTTTACTAAAACCACTATAAATTGCAATAATGTATTAAATACTTAACTGGAATTCTATAAGAACCTGTGCAATAATGTAAAAACTTTTTTAATTAATCCTAATCAAATTCAGATAATATTTTCCAAAACCACTTTATTTATTGAGAAGTATCAGCATATGGTGTTTTGTATGTTGTATGTTATTTCCATTCATCTAAATCTACAACTGATACACCATAAAGAATCATTTCAAATTCTTCAGCTGTAAAAATATTTAAATAATCTTTTGGTATATATTTATATAATCCATTTTAGATTTAACCAAGTTATTTTGATATCATTTTTTCACTATAGAATTAGATACTTAATAATAATAATAATAAATTCTACCTTAAATCTACAAATTCTTATTTGTTTTAGTTAGTTACTAAAATATCAGCTCCATTTTATTTTAATTCAATTATTTCATCATCCTTACATATGATAAAATATTATTATAATGAATTTTCATCAAATTAATTTTCAAGTAAATATTTCCAACTCAAATACAGACTTTTATCATAATATTACATATCTTGAAATGAGATTTCTTAACCAATTAATCTTTTAACCAAGGGTCTATCGAATTCAACACAGATATTCATTCTTTCAAAAAGTGCTTTTGCTATTGCTAAACCAACTAAATCAAAATATTGACTCTATTTAGCAATTTTATATGTAACATCATTTGTTTCTGTCAATGAAAAGATATCTTTACACATTTCTTTAAAAATTAAAGTTAACCATTCTCTTAATAAACCACCTGCATCTTATACTTTGTCGTTTTAAAATACTACCTTGACTTCTTTATACAAATTAACATTTCTTGCTGAAATTAAAGAAGATTATAATAAATCATTTAGATTGACATTCAATTTATCAGATCCTAATTACCAAGGAATACGAAATTTTTCAAGTTATAGATTGAACCACATTTATTTTTCAGGAAAGGATCTGTTTTTGATTTCTTAAACACTTAAATTCTTTAAACTTTATTAAAAATATTACTTAGATCTATCCACCATTAACTTATGATTATACTCTTTTCCATTGATTATTTTATTTCACCCAAATATAATTATCTCCCAGTTAAACTTATGGCTAAGGCATTTGAAATCCAATATTATTTATTTGTTATTAGTTTTGTAAACAATGATCTATATGAGTATTAAGCAAGTTGTATGTAGTAGAAGGTCCAAATTTACGATCACAATTAGGGCATTTGGCTTCTTATCCAATTTTTTAATTCGAATTATTTGAACTTCTGTTCCCCATTTTTAGAAACTTATAATAATCAGGGGATAAAATATGATAAACAAATATACAATAAATTATACAATAGATATTTATGTTCTAATAACTCAAACAATAGTTTAAGTGATTTATGAATCGCATAAATCAGCTTCTTCCACAGTTTAATTCAAATTCTAAATTGGTCTTGGAGGAAAACCTGAAATTAACTAGATTTATTTTTAAGGAGGTAAATTCATCATTCTTTGATAAATATTTAAAAATACCTTAAAAGATGTTATTGAATGACTGTCACTCTTGTTGTAGTATTAACTGTCAATGTAATAGTGTTACCAGTTGATAATCTCACCATAATATTTGTTGTTGGTTGATTGGGATCAATTTGTATTTATCCTTATTTACTCAAATCAACTTTAACTTGTTATTATTATTAAACAAATTATTATTAACCCAAACTAACTCCTGATCCACTAAATTCTACATATTTAGGTGGTGGAGGTGGTACATATTTTTCAGTTTTTCTATCTTCTAATTTTACACTCAACCCTTTGGGATATTTTGCTCGTAAGGATGTTGGAACTTAGCTTTTCATATATATAATTATGTTACCCTTATTTTAATTCTGCAATGAATTTCTTGTTTTCTGGATCATTTAAATCTTTGAATTCTCCATCATTAATTTAAAATCCATTATTCCATAAAGTAATTTTACACCATTCTTTTGGATCCTCATCTCCATCAGGTTTAGTGCCTCCTTATTTTCTATAAGCATTTTAATAGATTATTACGCCTTATTTATTAATTCATCGTAATCGTCAGGATTTTGAATTGAGAGTCCACTAAGATATTTAATAAAGAATTATACCTCTTTTCTCCTCCAGCATAAGAATTGCTAGTTTTCTTTTATTTTTCATCTTTGTCACCTTTCTTTAAATCATCTAATGTCTTAAACATACCGAAATTTTTTATATTAAATAATAATAATAATAATAATAATAATTCAATCATAACATAAAAGTAATTATTTTGCTAAATTTGATAGACATTCATTTTAAGATAAAAACAAAAATTCTACCTGATAATAAAATCTATATTTTACCTTATTTTTATATTTAGAAAATATATTTTAATATCTGTCATCATTTATTGTATCTCCAAATTCTAGGACTCTTTTAATGTAATTTAAAATAGCAATTGAAGTAATAGGATCGTCAATATTCAAATTAAGTAATTAAGAACAATAGTAATTTTCATCTAAAATTTATGGATAATCATGTAAAAAATGATCATCTTGCATTAGACATTCTAATACATTTAATGATTTTTCAGCATAGTCTATATTTAATGACATTTCTATTATTAAATTTAAAACTTCCTTCTAACAAATATAAAATTATATATCCTCTAACTCGACAATATTAAAAAATAATGTTAGAAGAGCTTTAATACAATTTGAATTGTTTGTTGTCAAAAATAAATTACAGATAAAACTATGTATTTCATTTTGTTAAAATATTTAATAGAGTAAATAAGATTCCTTTATTTCTTATAAAATCCTTAAAATTATAAAAGTGAGATTGTCATCATTGTTTAATAAATATCTAACAGCATGAATTACCAAATGATGATTACTAAATTCCATTCTTGAAGTTAGAATATAAGTGCATTGAAATGCTATATATTAAGGCATTAATTAACATAATGTCTCAACTAAATAATCGCTCAATAGTGATTTAAATTCAACAATTTTAACACAAATATGTACTAATAATTTTTTATATGTTTCTTCTGTAATTATATTGGCATTTTTATTAAGAATATGTAGTAGATCATCATCTCTCATCAGAAATTCAAAAACATCAATATCATAATCTGCTAACAAATTTTATATGATTTCAAGAACAAATTCATTGTATACAGGATTTTTAATATCTGTGTAAAGTATTTTTAAAAAATCAAAATTTGTATCAAATAGAAATTTAGCTCCAATTTTATCTCCTAAAGTAAGATTGCAAAGAATCCAATAAATAGTTATTCTATAATTTTATTGACAATTCAATTCAAATTAGAGTAATAATTCATTCATGAGATCTTAGTCTACTAAATAATCATAATATTTATTCATAGCTTTTTGAAAATCATTTTCAATATTTTCATGAATGGCAATCATTTACTTTTTAATAATTTTGAGTTTATCATTCAAATCGTGATCTTCTTATTCAGGTATAATTATTCTCTTTTTTTTGAGTTATTATTCAATAAACTCTTTTCTAATCACAGTTCTAAACTTTTCCCTCTTAATACTCAAAATTGATGAAGATTAATCCATTATTTATATAATTGTGTTTTTTTGGTATTATTATATCAAATTTAGATGGCTTATTTTTGGAATACATTTTATGCCTTTGTGACATCCCCAACAGTGAATAAATTTTAAAGGTTGCTAACATCAACTGACTAAAATAATAATACAATATTATCATACCTATTATTATTCACTTAGAACTGAGTCATCTACTACAAGACTATAATTGTCATAATACTGTAAAATCTTTTAGACTTTATTTACTTTGTCTCCTCCTGTCAAAACAGTATTGTAACCTCTTTCTAATCCACCAACAACTACAAAAATTAGAAATCCTTAAACTTACCAATGCTGAAGTTGGTTACAGTTTATGGATCTCCAGAGACTATTACATGTTTAGATCCTTGCACTTTCTCACTCATTTTTGCTAAGTCTTAATAAGTGTAGGTTTAGAGTTATCCATTTCTCAATTAAGCTGTGACTGGTCCTGTAACAGTTGGGAGAGAAAGTCGATTAAAGTTCCTGGAGGCGTAAACCAATGATTCCTAGTGGCTTCAATAGTTTAATACTCTGAATTTGTAGGTTCCTGGATATGAATAAAATCCAGTATGAATCAACCATTTCAAATTAGTAAATTTACTACTCTTTAGACTTTCTCCAGATTGAGCTTGAGACAAATTAATTTTAATAGATACTCTATGTGGTTTCTGGAACAAGGGTTTTTAAGATTTCAATGAACTTTGTTTCTCCAATTAGTTGATTAGGTGAAAATACAATTCCTTTTGGATTTACAATACTAATAGTCTTTTCAATTTCATTTGGATCATTGGATCTGAATGGTACTGTAATTACTCCTGCTTTAGCTGCTCCAGCAAATGTAGTGGCTGCCTCACTTGTGTTAGATCTACCAAGTAAGAGCAAAAGCTTATCTCCTTGTTTCCAACCTTGTTCAATCAATCCATATGCGAATGCACTTGAATGTGTCTCTCAATAACAATTATTCAATACATCGAATTCTCCAAAAGTCCATGTGAGATTTTAATTCTCAAATCTGAAACCATTCTTAAGTGGATTTTATTTTACTAAGGTTGAGAATCCTTGATAAATAAATCGTAGCATTTTTTAATAAATAATTTAAATATATATAAATAAATGTTTCTTCTTAATTGGTTTGGAGGTAATAGCAATTAGAGTGGTAAGAATAAAAAAAAGAAGAAGAAGTAAAATGTTGTGTAGAATCTTAATAAGACTTTGATAAATCCAATGAAGGAAATCAAATTATTTGGACATTCAAAGATGGGATATGGTCCCAAAAAAACTGAATGTCAAGATTCATATTGTACTATGGAAAGATTTACTGAAGATTGTTATTTTTTTGCAGGTTTATTTTTATTTTTATAATAAGTGTATGATGGTCATGGTTCCTCAGGTAAAGAAGCATCTTAAGCAGCAAATGATTATATTTAAACATTCCTTGAGAAAAATCCAAAGAGAATTAAAGCTTTGTAGAATGATAAACAAAGAGAAAGTTTTTTGAAGAGTGCTTTTAAAAATGCTGAAGCAAAACTTAGATCATCTGGTATTGATTATAGTAATTCTGGAACATGTGCAATATCAATTTTTGTAGTTAAGAATATGTGTTATATTGCTAATCTGGGTGATTCCAGGGCTGTACTATTTAGATAAACTGCAAAAGAGAAACTAGCCATTGAATTATCATATGATCATAAACCAACTAGACCAGATGAAAAAGAGAGAATTATAAGATGTGGAGGAAAAATAGAAAGACTCATACATGATGGTTAGCCAGTGGGTCCTTATCGTATTTGGGCAGATGATGAGGGGCCAGGTATTGCTATGACTAGAACGTATTAAAATTCAAATTATATATAAAGATTGGGTGATTTATAAGCTAAAAAGATCGGTTTGATTTCAGAACCTGAAGTCTAACATATTGAGTTGACAAAATAAGATAAATTCGTGGTAATAGGATCAGATGGTGTTTGGGACGTGATGAGTAGTGCAGAAGTCTGTGGATTTGTCTTAAAACATGAGCCTAAAGAAAGTGTAGCCGAAGCTATAGTATATATAGAAATTATACTAGGTTACTGAATGTAGGTCCAGATGGGATGAGATGAATAAATAAAAGAAGACTAATTCAAGGATTGGAGATTTACCGTACCTGAAATTTGGTTGCGATGATATTACTGCTGTGATTGCTTATTTCACATTTATTGATGAATTGGAAGATAACTATTTCCAATAACAGAGATATTGAATCATAAATATAAGAAATAATATTTTATGATTTATATTTTGATATAATATTGTTATCACTTCAAAACCAATCTGACTTATGGTATTCCTTTGATAATTTCTTAACTCTCCTATGTTAATGTAAAATTGATAGTCAAATCAACATATTTCTAATAATTAAGAATAATCAATACTTATATGTCTAATAATTTAATAATTGGCTGGTCCAAAAAATGTTTTTTCTCTTCTGGTTTTTTAGCATACATAATTTCCATGTATACTGGTTAAGCCTTCAAGAAAACATCTCTTGGATGCAAATCATATTATTATTTCAAAATTTCAAACAACTATGTAAAAGTAGTTGACTTTGTAATTTCATGTGTCCAGATATCCCATAATGTAACAGTAACATTTTCATTAATTTTCTTCTTGGGAACCAAACCTGGTTCAGTCAATTTCACAAAAGGAATGGCTAAATTGACAAATGCGTTTTTCATGTCTGAAATTTAGACATTCTTCAAAGTCTTAATTAATTCTATAGTCTAAAGTCCAGCAACAACAGCAGTAGTAGTAGCCAAAGCAGGTACAATACGTCCAGCTTTGATTTTTACAGTTAGCCAATCCATAAACTCTAATTTATAATTAGCAGCTCTTAGATTGCCAAAGGAATGAATGAAATCTATGTGTCCATTTTAATCATTATCTTTTTCAAATTCATCAGATTATAAAGTAATTGGTAATAAGGATCTAAATTATTTAAACAATAATTAAGTTTCTTCTTAAGTACTTTAGTTTTGATTAGATTCATTCTCTTCCACTTCTTCTTTTTGGCCATGTTCTTTAACCTTTTCAGAAATAGACTAAAATTATAATCAAAATAATAAATACTTTTTTCTTTTCTTCACTTGGTTGCCACTCTGGAAAACTAATTTGATTAGCTTATTTAGATACTTATTACCTAAAAGCTTTAGTTCTCCAATCTTTGTTAGTTTCAAGACTGAACATTTTGGCTCTAAGGAAAGCAAAGGTAGATACAAATTATTAATGAATTTCATTTTCAGGATCAAATTAAATAGGTTTAGGAGGACGTTTAGGCATAGTCCAAAACAGATTACCATCCTTTGTTTTGGCATCTTCTGGATATGTATATAAAAGTTATTTAATGTCATTAACGAAGTATTTCTAGAATTTTCCTCTTGCCCATTTGATGCAATCTTCAAATGAATTTGGTTTGTTTTTAAACAACTTGATACCTTCTCTTAATGGTTTGTTATCTTCTAAACTGGGTATATAATCTTCAGCCATCATTTTTATTAATTATTTTGGTCTTGCTGAAAAATGTTTACCAAATTTATCTCTTGCAAATTCAACACAATGGAAAGTCTCTTCTGGGAACATTTTTAATGTACAGTATGGAATTTCTCCTTCTTCTACAGGATCATTAGAACTTCCATAAGATTCAGTTTAAAATGGAATGATACATTGTACATGACCTTTTGGTCCAAGAGTACCAGACTCTAATAGCGGCTTGCGAGCATTTACACATCTTTTGTCAACATATCTTCTAGCAGCTACATTATCAAGAGCATTAGCTATTATATCTTGTTCTTCAAAGAATTAATCTGTGTATATATTTTCTGTTAAATCATGAACTTTGTCAAGTCTTGCTATAATGTGATCTCTTAAATAGGGATTCATCTAAATTACAGCAGCAGCTGCTGTCTAAGATTTTGGCTTTCTTAAATGTTTTTCCCTGAATAAGAATTACCTATTTAGATTACTAACTTCAATATGATCTGGATCAGTTATTGTAATTGAACCCTTTATTCCTAAATTAAGCATAGCAAAATTCTTGAGTAATTCACAACCAATTGCACCACATCCAACCATGAAAACTTTAGATTTCTCTATTTTAGATGCAACTTCTATTCCCAAAAATCTACTTAAAGATCTTTCAGTAAGTTTAATATCTTTGGATATCTCTTTTTATAATACTTCAGTGCAATCAACATAAAATATTTGTTAAACTGGAGTAAACTTATTAGTTATTCCTTTAATAGCTTCTTATGAGACGAATCCTCCAAGATAAGCAGACAAAGGTGAGAATTCACCCAAAGTTGAGTAATGCTTGAATAATGATTCGAAATTCTCATCCTTGATTTATTGATTATTATAAAGATTGTGTAGATTTTCAGTATTTTACAATTTGATAAAATCGTATTCTGACATATTAGGATCATAAATTGGTTTATCTATAAATTATTAATTATAGGGTTAGAATGATAATTCAACAGGTACTTTAACTAATTTAATAGTTCCATTTCTAATATATTTTGAATATCCACTTAATTATATTTCTAAGATTGATTTACTAATTACTTTAACCTTTTAAATAGTTTTATTAATTGAATTTCCATTTTAATCTATCATTCCTTCAATATTATCAATCATTACAACATCATCATCCTAAAATTCATGTTTACCTGTAATTTCAAAATGCATCTAATTTTATCCTTTTTCAGTAACAGATTTAACAATATAATCAACAGTTTATTCACCATTTTTATCTTCAACAATGAAAGATTAACCAAAGTCATTAAATACTCTTCCAAATACTCCATCCACTGAACTTATAATTAATTTCACTTTATGTTAACGACATAATGTAGACAATTTGAATAATATATCATTTGGATATGTAACACATACTACTACAATATTATATTTAGTCAAATCAATTTTAAGTAATTCTACAGTTTCATAATTCA